ATACACGCATGCACCCGCATCACACCACCGGTAGAGGACGCGTGCTGCTTCTGAAGACCCTACCAGCTCTACGCTGAGGGTCAGGGAATAGATCAGCATAACTGCAGCGGTTCAGCATCGCCCTTCTTTTGCGGTCGTTTTTCTCGCTTCTGAAGGCTTGATCTCTTTTCTCCACCTAGTTGTGGAAGAGTGAAGTTTGGTGTCTTCTTCGTTCCTTTTGGTTGCATCTACCTTTGCTGTGCTCATGTAAGGAGCTCTACATCCACGGTGTACCTCCAAATGTATGTTGGGTGCGTGCATGAGCGTCACTCTTTCCCTATCGAGGGGTGCCTTTGAGGTAGGTTACCTGAATATGTAGTGCTACAGCGTCCTTGCCACTAACTCATTCGAATGCGAGGTGCCTTTTGCTTGGGAAGCACGGTCTACGGTTTAAAGGCAGCGCCAACGTTCACTACCTTAGTATGCGCGTTGAGATAGGAAGAGAACACTAGTGCAACAAAAGTATCTGGTCAAGTAAATTTTAATGTGACCAAAGCCATGTTTTTGACAGATGTGGGCAGGGCTCTGCTAGGGGCCCAGATGTGGTAGTTGGAGATGTTTATGATACCCCCTTGTTGTCCTCTTCGGGGGGCATATGTTGACGTCAGAACAATACAAACTTTCCTTCCGCTTCCCTTCCACCCTCTTCGATAGGGGCTTAGGGGCTTAGCCTCACCCCTCACACCCTGGGGAGGCTGCCCTAGGGGGTCAACGGAGGGCATTTGGCTCTCATGTCCTCAACTCTTAAGAACTCAGGAATCCAGGTTGATTGGGCAGCTTTGAGCTGTTTCTTGGTCTAGAAAAAGGTTCAAGCGTGCAGGTGGCCAAGGCAACTACATCGCATGTATACGTCGAGGAGCGGACTCCGAAGGCGTATTGGTTGCCTCGCGAAGCGCAGATGCCCTGGGGGCTCAATGGAGGGCATGTTGCTGTCTTGTCCGTACAGGCAAGGACCTCACGAAAGTGAAAGAAACCCCCCCACGTCCCCCACCTCACACTTGCTTGATCCGTTAGAGCTCGGGCACTTAGTACTTGGTTAGCCCCGCAAAGTAAAAGCGCTGCACTCTGAAGTCGAACAGTCCTGAATAGTGCCAAGCCGGAACTATTGAGGGATTTTACACCCTGAATATTGCTGACTTGGCACTATTCAGGCTGTGGACTAGCCCACATGGGTAGCGGTAGTTCACGGTGGGAAGCCGCCCTTTGGATATCTGCACGTCTACGATGTGGTAAATCAAGGTTTCTATCTGTCTGGTTGTCATGTTTTGGCAGGGATGGGGAGAGAGAGACTCGTATGAAATACTACACTCTGTTTAGCATCACTGAGGACGTGAATCGACCAGCCCCACGAGGCCACGGGGGGAGGATTCCTGTCCTAGACCCTGCCTTATTTCAGGCATGTCTACAGTTATCAAGAACTCAGGCTGACCGACCAGGGTCGGGAGCAGTCAGTGTCGACAAGGAAGAAAACACCTGGCAAGAGCTGTAAAAGGTCTGGGAAAACTGCGGCGGCTGGGTCTGCCGAAAAAGGTTCGGGCTCGATTGAAGCAACATTTCGGCATTGTCTTGGTAATTTACTTGTTTGAGTTGAGTGAGGGGTATCTTGTCGAGTATTGATAGCGTTTCTTGCTGGCTGCTTCATGTACATTCTTCACGATGCCGCGGGCCTGACTCTTGCATATGTAGGTAGGTCACTGTCGACCGCATTGCCTAGTGTTGGGGGTGCGTTGGCTGGTCCGATGGTTGCATGTGGTTAAACTACGTGGATGCCACCTTATGACATCGTGTTGGTGGTATTCCTTGGCGGGCTGCGTGCGTTTCGATCTTCGTGAAACTGGCTTGTTCGACGATCGTACGGTACAGATCGTGGCAACATGTATGCTTGTATTCCGAGGTACTCCAATTAACCCTGGAAGCGCCTCGTAACGGTTTTTCAGCGTTTTCCTTCGGGGTTCGTTGCTTTTTCGTTGTTTTCCATGCGATTTGCAACTCCTTGGCGATTTTTGTCGGTGTTGACTGTCTGAAGCTTTCCTTGTTATTTTTACGGGAAGTCGCGAGTGCTTACTACGGTAACACACACCCTCGAGCATGAGACACAGAAAGAACAAAGTGAACTGAAGAATAAAGATGTCCAGACCGCGATGAAGATCTTGAACTATGGTGCCGACGATGGCAAGGCTAAAGAGCTAATGACAGGATACATTAAAAAAGTATGTAAACGCGAAGGAAACGCACGAACAAACGCCTCAAGCCATGGGCTAACAGGGCCTGAAGCATGTTGGTCGTTTGGTGATAGGCTTCCACCGGATGGGCTGCAGCGGCACTGGTGGCAGGGGAGGCGGCCGGGGCGCAGACACTCGCGGATGGAACGCCAGTATCGGTAGCAGCATCAGCGGCGAGAGTGGCGACCCGCGGCGTCCAGGTTTTCTCCGCGGCGGCGGGGGCAGACCGCCGGGCCGCAGGCACTCGTGGCGGGAGCGGCAGCATCGGCGGGAGCACCGGCTGCGAGAGGGGGGACCACCGGCAGTCCTGTGTTCTCCGCGACGCCTGCCGGGGAGACGGCCGGGGTGAAGGCACTCGCAGCTAGAACGGTAACATCGGTAGCCACCGACGGCGAGAGTAGTGACCCCTGGTGGCAGGGTTTTCTCCGCGGCGGTGACGGAGGAGACGGCCGGGCCACAGGCACTCGCAGCGGAAGCGACAGCATCGGCAGCAGCACCGGCGGCAAGAGGGGGTCTAGCCGGCAATAATGTGTTCTCCGCGGCGCCGGCCGGGGGGACGGCCGGGGTACACCAACTCGCAGCTAGAGCGGTAACATCGGTAGCAGCACGGGCGGCGAGAGTGGTGACTCTTGGTAGCAGATTTTTCCCCGTGGCGGCGGGGGGAGACGGCCGGGCCGCAGGCACTCGTGGCGGGAGCGGCAGCATCGGCCGCAGCACCGGCGGTAAGAGGGGGGTTAGCCCGCAGTCATGTGTTCGCCGCGGCGCCGGCGGCCGGCCGGGACGCACGCACTCGCGAACGGAGCAGCGGCACCGTTAATGGGAGCGGCGATGACTGGAGCGGTTACCGTGACGGTCGTGACGACGGGTGGACTGGGCTACCGCACGCCATGAGCCAACCCGGCAGACGGCGATCCGTCAGCAGCGGTACAAGGTAACGCCTGCGGTCACGCGGTCGAGGTTTCGTCGATCCGATATCGTGGTTGGGTGTCGGTGCGTGTACTTCATTATCATGCTCGCGGGCTCCTGTGGAGAACGTTTCTGCGCAAAGGAGTGACTCAAGTTCCGCCCGAAAAGACAGTCCACGACCGGCACCAAGAGGCCAAAAAATATCATTATCGCCCTCCCATGCCTCTCCCCCCCCGGTGTTGCCATCGGGGTTGGATTTTCGTCGCTTGGCAACGACGTTGTAAAACAAGCCGATCACTTCGTGAGCTCGGCAACCAGGCTACGCTTTTTGTTTTACGTCTGATGATGGTGGTCGAGTAAATTATATTGTGCAGGGTCGAGAATCCTCACTCCACACAAGGGAAATGATCGCACCACGTTGTTTTAAATTGGCCAAGCATCCTCGAGGCAGTTACACAGTGCTTACAACTGTCTCTGGAAGTGAAAGCACTAGGAAATAGATTAAGTCATATGCAGCTGTCATCCACGCAAGGGAAGTAAGCACGACATGCCGAACACTCTTAGCAGGATGCAGCGCACCCTTCATGCGACTCGTCGAACGCTTCTACCGGCCCCTCGTTATGTTTTCAAGGGTGCTCCGATACCCCTTCCGAACACTCGGTAGTGATGTCGTATACCGAGATTTCCGGTAGGTATGGAGGGCTGTACCGAGGTGTACCCGGGGATTCGGTAGGTATGGAGGACCAAACCGAGGCGTACGGGGAATTTCAGTAGGTATGGAAGGCTAACCGGGATTTTCGATAGGTATGGAGGGCCATACCGATACCGAGGCGTACCGGGATTTTCGGTAGGTATGGGGGCTACCGAAGGGTACCGAGACGCTCGGTAGGGTATATACTGGCGGAAATACCGGCGGTATACTTAAGTACGTACCGTGCCGAATACATCTTCCATTGAGTTTGGTCTGAGAAGCTCAAGCTAAAGCTTTAATGCACCATTTCATGTTTACGTGTGTGTTGGTCGCACTGCATAAGTTGTCTTCTTTTTGCGAGCGTGCGGCCTTTGCCTATTTAGCATGGTCGTCCGTCACTTGCGTGTTGTAGTCATGTGTGGCGTCGCGTGCCTTTCACTGTTGAATGCGGACAATCTACACTTTGTATGGAAGGTTGAACACATGCGCTGCCTAACGAAATGGTGTGGCATTAGTCCGGCGCGATATCGCCGTGTATGGGTATTTATCATTCATAAACACCGCTGTCGTTTTCCTTGAGTACAACCAGGTGCCAACCTCTCTGAGATCAAGCTAATTACTGTCTACGGTGGTACCAAGCTTTGTTGGCGTTGTGGATGCAGCGCATGTGGGTAGCAGTAGTTGACGGTGGGAAGCCGCCCTTTGGATATCTGCAAGTTTTAAGATATGGTAGATTGGGTTTCCCTCTGTCTGGTTGTCATGTTGGCATGGGAGACAGGGATAGAGAGAGAGAGAGATACTCGTGAAACAAAACACTCTGTTTACCATCACCAAGTAGGTGAACCGACCAGCTCCCAGAGGCCACGGGGGGAGGATTCTGGTCCTAGGCCATGCCTGATTTCAGGCGTGTCTACAAGGCACTGTTCTGAATAGTGCCGGTGACCGCTTAAGTGGCCCTCCTGGGCACAAACTGGCAATAACCGAGGCACCTACTGTACTTTTTACCTCTCAACACCAGGGTTCGGTGGCATGGACTTCGCCGTTGCACCCTGCGGAAGGCCACGCCTTGGGGATCAGCCGAGCGCATGCGGCTCTCCAGTCTTTTGTATCTCTCACCCACACATTCACAAGCACAACACGCCCAAGAGCTAGCGGAATGAGGGACCGCTATCGACCCGAAGAGACTGCATGTCAAGCGTTCACAAAATATCCCCGCGGTGTGCTATTTATTGCTACGCCGGGCGCGTTGTTTCCAGTGAAACTTCTGGATGCACCAACGAGCGATGTGCGCGTGTACTGAGGAGACCCGCGAGAGCGGGAATAAAATATCAAGCCTGAAAAACGTCACCCGGTTGATGCGTCAAGACCGCAAGGACCGGCAGAGTGACTCCCCATTAGATGGGTCACAACACACACAATGTCACACCGTTACAAAAAGGTTGTTGGCAATTGACCCAGTGGTGCTGAAGGTTTCACACCACTGGGGTGCAGATGCGCGAACTGCGATTGGATGTTCAAAGCTTTCCAATGACGAACGCTAATGGACCCTTTGATGCACTGCTGTATGCGAGCGCGTTGCCACAAGCAGGCGATTTTCTCAAATGTTGCTGGACAGTCATCATCTCTCAGCTTCTCCACGACTCACTCTTCAAGATATTTCCAAGCTTATCCCGCTACGGCATATCAAAATATCCACCTACACTGAATGTACCACGGTTCAAAATTGCAACACAGCTAATCTTTCTTAAGCGGGAACATCTGTGTCGATGTGCCATCTTTTGAAATGATTGTGATCTCCACCGCGTCCCCCGTATAGATGTCTCGTTCGCCTGCGGTGACTAACAGCTCTTTCACCAACTCCACCGTTTCAGCTGCTGAGCGTGCGGGCTTCTCGTCCTTTCGTGTTTTGAATTCTACCAAGTTGTCAAGGAGTGGGATTATGTACGTCTGGCCAGAGCCTGACGCGCTGTACGGGACTCGTTCGAACGACCCAATAGCATCGTAAGAAAAAACAGATCCCTTCCCCTGTTCATCCAGACCGCACAGGACGTTGAAAGAGTAGTACGGGAAGAATCGCCGGTAGTATAGGGTATTGGCAAGCATCTGAGCCACTGCTGGGGTCGCCATCTCCTTTTCCATGTTGTGATCATACCTGACGTGAAAATATCAACGAACGCGACGAATGATGAGCCGATGTTGCCGGTGATGTTTGCAACCTCTTGTGTGCACGATAGATAGCAACGCAAATAGCTGGTCGCGAACATGCTAACCCTAGCCCACAAATAAGTCAAGTGACATCACCGATCAGCAAAGGACATAAACGCGTACCAAGTGGCACTGTGGTTCGTTGGTGGTGGTGTACAGCAGAAAAAGAACGATAACTGCAGGTTCAAAGTCGGGAGAAGCGTGCGTCATCATGCTCTTTCCACACTTATCTAAAACTGCAATTGTGTGTGGGTGTGGCTTGTGCCGTAGCTTTAGCCGTGAAAGTACAGCCACAGCAGTAGTAATGTTTTCCACGCAAACACATACCGTCGTCCTCCCCACAGCAGAGAGATAGATCAGCAGTCTACGCAGCAAAATTGATTAAGCAAACATATGGGATAAAGTATTCAATCCGTGCTTAAGGGTTAGCAGACTTTGAGAGAGTGTATTCAGAGAGCCAGTGTTTTTTGTCAGAACGAACTTTTTGCGTTGAAGCCGGGCGCACACATGAACACGACATCGCCTGTATGTGTGCCAGCCTGTCCGTGCGTGACTTCGGCTGGTACCTATAGCTATGGCTCTGTGGGGCTCACACAACGCGTGTACAGTAGTAGTATATGCTTCGCACACACATGACCGTTTCCCCCAGTAACTAGCACAAGAGAGATGTTCCGAGTTCTGGGAGGCAAAATATAAATTCTCGAAATATCCGGCAAGGTGCCACTTCTTCACATTATTGGGAGAGATGTTTGCCCACTTTTGGTCGCACACACATTGCGAGGTAGCAGTGTTACACAGCAGTCCCCAGCACACGATGGTGTAGAAAGTGCTGATGTACCATTTCGCAGTAAGTACACAAGAGGTAGACATTAACTGTTGCTTGTTTTGCTAGACAGTTCCGAGTTCCGAGGTCTGTGATGACTTCAAGTTCCAAAAAATACACCGGTAGAGAGTTCCGCCCAATCACAAGCAGCGTTTATTGACAGTCTCGCTTGAAGAGGTCCGAGGTGCCAATGAAGGTGCGAGCACGTGGTTTGGAGTGCTTCCGCCGGCGCGGGAAGCTCGCCCGGCGCTCGGCGCCGGGAGCCCTCGGCGGCAACGTCTCGCTGAGAGAGGGCGTCCCGTGGACTCCGGCGCGAGGGAGGCCGAGCGGCACCCCCTGCGGCGCGTGCCGCGATGTGACGCTATCGTGTCGATTTGAGAGTAGGCTTAGTCCCGCCGCTTCGCTCTCAGGCGTCGCTGTGAGGCCTGAGGGCCGAACTTGAACGTGAGCCAATGTTCCCTACCTCTAGTCATAGATTATGACCCTTTCCGACCGAATACATAGTTAGGCATTTTTCTCAAGGCATAACAAAATGGGCGTACAGTTACGTGATTAGGCACACGACCGCCAGCACGAACAACCAACAGCATTGATACTTGAGACTACTGCTGCGCGAAAGGACATTTTCGTCGCAAACGGCCGGTTTCCTGGGTCGGCACTTCTCTGTATCAAAGATATCACCACATCGGCAAAATATCATACTTACAGCGCCACCCGCAAGGTAAGAGACAAATCTACGGCGTCACACAGACGCAGATTTGACATTGAACAGACGTTCGTCGACGGTCTCAAGACACACCAGCACGTACACCAACACGATTCTAAATTGTATTTTGATCATGTTTTCAAGTTGCAATAGTACGTGGTTCCTACGGAACTTACATGGTCATGCTAACATCCAGCTCTTTCCACAGGGTTGTCACGTCTGTCTTGCAACCAGCAGAGGCAATCACGCACTTCGAGGTAAGCTGATGAAGCTTGGTCTGATCGCGCGACATGATGGAGTATCCTGTACTCATTCTGGTATCGGCCGCAACAACCACGTAGTCGGCACCTGCAATGGCAAGGGTCGTGCTGGCAGGGGTACGGGAAACTTCTTGAGTCAGCACAAGATGCGCGAACAATACGAAACGGACGAGATGTTTGCAAAACTAATAGGACACAATCGTTGACCCACACATTGTCCAAACTGCAACGCGATTAGTCTTTGCGAGGAACTGCCGAACAATCACTAGCGAATTACATAACAGTTTCATTCGATCATCTTTGCCCCACGACCCTACGAAAGGATCAGGCCGATGGAAGGCCGACGCGCTGTAGCGCTGGGCGGCGTTGTCCGCGTAAAGTAGTTTGGAGAGTATTTCAAACACAACACGGCATACCCGTACAAAACAACACTCGAAAGTGGCGAGGACGCTACAAATCCACAATCCTCGCGCAGCATTTTGTAGCGACAACCCAAGAGGCCATGCAGCTCTTACGCGTTGGACGTGCGCTTATGTTTCAATGTACAAGTCGTGCACCAGGTAGGCATATGCGTATCGTATTGGTGTCTCAAGGATGCAGCGTACACAAGTCAAGGATTGCAACGCCGCTGGCGTTTCCCCGGCCACTGTTAACTTTGGCCGGGATAGAGGGGGGATTATAACCCGCGACTACAGCTGCAGTTGCTTCTTGGTTTGGTTACAATATTATTTTTGTTTCTTCAGACTGGCGAAGCAAGGAACGTGCTCACTTTCGCTTCTAGAGACTGTGTACTTTGTTGTGGCCATCGACGTTCAAGAACAGGTAAGCTTCTACCCGTGAGACAAAAAAGCAGTTGGCCCCCACTGCTGTGCTAACGTGCGACAAAAACGGGTGGCCGCCATAGACGGTTACTTTAGATTCAACGTGCGTGCATTTGACAGCAGTCAATCTCGTATTTTCTGTGTAGAGGACGTAAATAAAACGCACACTCTACCTCTGCTGTGAACCTATGCTGTGTTTCGTTGGACCTCGTGTTTTTGCAACACAGCAGACGTGCTTTCCTAACATACCTGCCACAGGAAATAGAGCGGGACCACCCAGTTCACATCTTCACCCCCGGTTTTATCACGTTTCAACCTCCATCTCCTTGTTGACACACAACACACCCGTGTTCTCTGCTACGACACAACTCTGCTGCGCTCTCCAGAAAATGCACTTTGATCCCGGAGAGACACTCCTCAAAACTATTGTAGATACTGAGGGGGGGGGGCGATTGGCCGGAGACCAGCTCTCTCCCCTCTAGCGCAACCCCGGTTCTCATCCAGCATACCCCTGTTATGAGAACTATGAGTCAGTTAAAAACTACCAGTCCACCTCAGACGCCGTATCATCAACGATAAATCCCTTGCTCACCCGCCATTAAAGTCATACGGGCTCCATCTGCGCTCGAACGGGTTTTGAGTCACCCCGTGGTCAATGCCCGAAGACAACACCTGGAGATCCTTCGTACCCTCCGAGTGCCAGATTGGTGCGCTGGGGGAAAGCGAGCAGTAGTTTTCGAGTATTTCAACGTAAGTGAAGGGGAAGGGCTACACATTGAGCAACAGCAGTCCTATTTTCACGTTACACATTGAGCAACTAGATTGCCTGCTGTGGGAACGCCTTGGTAGATCGCAGATCTTGCTGCTTATTAAACGTACGAGTACAAGGAGAAGGACGAGATTCGTTAGCGAGGCAGGGAGACAACTCCTCTGCCGCTCTTGGTGGCACGTAGACAACTACCTGAACATAGTGACACCAAAAACACTCACCTATGAGGTGAAGGTCTTTGCGACATCTTGGGGATCCAGGGTGAGGCAGGTGGTGGTTGCTTGAACAGCGCAGGCACAGCAGTATCAGAGTGGAAGTAGCAGTAGGGTGAGTGTGCACGAACTCTCCAGATGGGGGGGGGACGTGGATAATATTGGTGGGCTTCACTACTGCATACCCTCGGGGGTGCACAACTGCAACAAGAAGGCAATATGGGCACAGTGGAGGCTCTGCCTTAGAAGCTTAGAAGTAATTCCGCCCCGACTTGCTGACACCGTCTCGGGCGGAATGGCAGGAGAAAATATCGTTCATCGGAGACGATGGGCACGCTTCGTACATCTTCACTACGTAGTTAACGCGGCGGTGAGTATATCTTGAAAGTTTCCTTCGAAAGGTTGGTAATGCAGCAGTACAACGAACTACTCGTCGTTCAACGGCACATTACTCACTCAGAGCTCGGCACCCCGCGGCTACACTGGGTAACTACTCCCTGACAGTCCGTGGAGCGAGTTAGTGAGCTGTGAAAGGTTTGACTTTTGAAGCTCGACTACTGCACCCACAAGTATCTGCGGAGGTATATCGTCGGTTTGGATGAATGTGTACATAACTTGTAGCAGTGTTCGCTTTAACGCTTTTACTGAAAACGATACCCCTCCATCCTGCCGCTTGGACAGCTACACAGCAGTGCAGAGCTCTATATTACTGCTGCTGTGTCGCCGGTTCTCTCCAGAAACAAACAATAGTCTATTTTTACTGGTTTGGAAGTGCTTTTGTTCTGTTTTACCCACTTATTTACGAAGTCCTTGCCAACAATCGATTTTGAGCGAGGTCGAAACTATTGCAGCAACGACCGATCCAGCACCCGGTAATGAGACGTTCACGAGACCTCGTGCGACCATTCGGGAAGTGTAGCGCAACAAAAGAAAAGTGAGCTATCACAAAGAACAGCGGTTGGGGATCTTTCTGTGCGTGTATTTATTTTTCCTTGATTGTCTCCAACAGCATATCACTATTCTATGCCTCCCTTCACACACTAATAAATAGAAATTCGCAAAGCCTACAATAGTCTACAGCGGCAGTAGCTGCATATTCAAGATAAAACAAGCTACATGGTGGGTGTGCAAACAAGGTCTCAACAAGTCATTGCGTTGTGGAGTCCCGACCCGGGCATATATTCCAGTTAGGACATCATGGAGCAAGGGCATGCCCGTTGGAACGCCCAGATCTGTTGCTGGGGGCGTGCTGTCGGAGGCTGCAGCTCCGGTCCGAAAATTCCGCAAAACTGGGTGGCCGTACCAATTCACACAGACCAATCCCCTGGAGTGCGGGCCGTGCAATGCAGCTAGTGGTGTAAGCTACTGCTGTAGACCAGCAGTTCAGGGGATTGGATCTGTGACGGCGCGTACAGCAGTGGATCGTGAGCGGTTTTGACACAGATTTTTTTGCGGACTTTTCGGACCGCAGCCGCAGCCTTCGACAGCACGACCCCAGCAGCAACAGATGGGCGTGCCATGCCATGCCGCTGCCCCATGATGTCCTCTACTGAAAATGTCCTAGGTCAGGACTCCACACGCCGGAAGATCGTTTTTGATACATATTTTGGGCGCTAATATTGGACTTAATTTTACATTGAAACTGGTTGTCATTGTTGGCAAGAACCCTCAACCGTTGGTTGTCGTCTCTGTTATCTGTGAGAAATCCGGTCAGGGTCAGATGGGGTCATGCGCAAGATTCGGCATCCCGTGTAGTTAGTAGACGTCTTCGAAAAGCGGACTGCTCCAGCAGTAGCATCCTAGTTTAGCTCGTAGCGTACTCGATACGAAAGACTCGTTTCGAAAATCGCGGACCCCAAATCTGTCTTTGCCAGAGATTGGGTAGAACAGTGGCGCACGGGCCTTGCGGATAGGCATGCGCGGGCGAACTATGGTAATGCTTTGCAATCCTATCTACTCACACACGAGTGGAAGATGCTTTTAATACGATGGTAGTTTCGTAAAGAAGCTAGACCTTGGAAAACGTTTTAGACTGGCGTTTCCCGGATCGCTGACCAGGAGATCTTAACATCTCCGGCTGGTGAGCCCAATATTGCACCGAAAGGGGCATAGAATCTGACTTTCAGGAGGGCGTTCGGCTTGTGAACGCTGTGCAGGATCTCCCACATTTCTCGTGTTGCTTTGAGATTTGAACCCACCCTCGGCTGTTCACCGGCTTTTTTGTTGTCAAACGTTCTGATCAAACGACATGCCATGGTATGAGATTTGATGGGGAAGCCGCTCAATGAGTAAGCGGTGCGAGTCACGCCAACAAACATGACCTACCGTCGGTGCATATACTTAAATTCCATCACTACGCGCGCTTCTCCGTTCCGTGTAGCTGGTGCTGAACTATGGCATAGTACGGTGGTACATGTCTGCGCCTCGGCTTACATCGCAGGCGACTTGGACTGGTTTTTCACAGGTGAGCACAAACCTGTTTTTGACCATCGAGCTCTTCTATGTGTAAGTTGGTGAAGCGCGTCATAGGGAGAGAGTATTTTAGCCCCCCAAGTGACAAGGTGGCTGGGGTAGGACGGATTGTTGCTCGGTGTACGTCAATTCTTCTTCCAGGTGTGTAAAGCATGGCGTAGGTTCGTTAAATGTTTACAGCTATAGGTATGAACGGCAGTGAGTCATTTGCTGCGGGCCTGCTTTTCACCAATAGCCAAGAGTCATCTGGACAGCACACGCTGATCTAATCTATTCCGATGTTATGATGGCACTTGTTGATTCTTCGTGTCTTGTGTTGAAAATCAATTGCAATCGCGTGCGCAGGAAACGGAGATTATCGGTCTCGCCACAGCTACTCTGGTCTCGAAGTACCGCAAAATGGCGACGTTCGACGAATTTCTCGCACGGTTTTTCGTCATCGGAAAGGCTGCTGTGGCAGTCCTCCTGTTTTTCGTGGGCATCCCCCACATGGTGTGGTACCTCATTCTATGGACAGGTATGCTCCCTGTACATCCCATTACGCTCTGGAAGACATTTGCGATTTGCGGTATCGGCCACGTATCTGTTTGTTGTTTAGTCCATGGATGAACGCTCGTTGCGTCGTATGTATGGTCCGTTTCTTCCACCAAACGATGCTGTACTGTGGCGAATGACTTATAGTTGCCAGCTCCCAACGCGAACCCCGCGCCTCCCAGCTTGTTCGCTGGTGGTGCCGTACCCCCGTTTTGTGTTGCCCTCAGAAGTTTCAACTCTTAACCCGGGAGAGTTCCAGTCCATGGTGAGATCATCGTCAGCACAAGCGCCCGGCGAGCGAGTTGCTTGGTTGGTTATGTTCCACGCGGACTGGTGCAGCTCGAGCCACAACCTGCAGCCAATGTTCGGTGCACTTGCGAGGAGGTGCGTGCGATGTGGCTTTAGTTTCATGATATTTTGGTTTCGCTGCACCATCGCGACGAGAGGACTCGACGAGGGTATAGCGTTTAAGGGCTCCCTCTTTTTGGTTACGGATCTGTGTTGCGCAACAAACACCGTTATCAAGCGCTTGAGAGCGGGTTTTTTCCGGAAATGTGCTGCCATGTAGAATTTGCGTTGTCACCCGAACCTTCGTGAATTGATTGCGTTTTCGCACGGGGATCGGAGAGATTACACGAGGATGCGTTTTGTCTTTTTCTTGACCCTTCTGGTTACTCCGGCAGACTCACACAAGTACACTTTGTCGCAACGCTCTAGCACGGGCCAACCGTTGCTGCCGTGGGTCCTGTCCCTTGCCCCGGCAAAAAGCGCGCACCCGCCATCAACTATTATTCGCTGTAACGGTAGTCAGCGTCGCACGGATAGGAGAGTTGGCACGGTGGTACGATCTCTCCGACTCCTTCGGTAAAGGAACTCTGGGAATAGGGCTGGAGGTCGTTAATGTATGAAGAATAGCACTATGCTGCTTGCCTGCCATAAAATCAAACGCGAGGCAAAGCTATGAACATGATGTGCGCATTACTGGTATAACGGAAGTTGCACTACAGCTGCTGCTGAACGTCGTGGATATCGACTCTGACGTTTACTATCCTATCCTACTTTTATATGGTCAGGTATGCGGACAAGAATCGGCGGTTTGCAGTTGTGGATATCGTGGCTCATCCCGAGACGGCTGAAGACCTTAACATCAACACGGCCGGGACGAGCAAGCAACTTCCAACTCTGGCACTCTTTGCTTCCGGAAGGTGGGACCGGTCCCTTGTTTTTGATGGATGCGACATGCACTGCTCTCTCTAGCTGCTTGCATGGTACTGAACTTTGGTGAAAACGTCGCCTTGTTTCATTTTCTGTCCACCAGGGAAGTTTGCAGGCTGCCGACATTCGCTTCGGATGGAAGCGTCGTTCGGGCTCGAATGGATGAGGTAAGCAGCGGGAGTGATGCACACTACTACCTCCTGCCCTGTCGGCGGGTCATTCCACCAAAATTCCGTGCGTGCCCAGTACTGTCTGTTCTCTACAGCCGCAGGACGTTGGACTTTCTCGCGGAATTCGCTGTATCCATGTTCTCTGTCCCCACAACGGCGTTGCCACTGCTGTGTCCATCACCGCGTAACCGCAATGTCTGTGTTTTCCTTTCGCGACAGCGTGGCGTGATCAACTACTTCGAACTAGACCAAGAGTTCAGGACAACCAGCTACTCTCGCCGAGGGTTAAGAGGGAAAAGGTAGCAGATGTCCGAGTCAAATCGCTCTTCACATTGGCGCACCGTTGCATGGTGGGGGAGGGGGTGGGGTTGGGCGGTGTAGACGATTTGACCCCCTCGAACGAATAGGAACGTGTTATCGTCGGCCTGTTTCAAGAATCGAGGGGGGGGGTTATAGGTGAAACGACCCCCTCTGAGGTTAGTTCGTCGAGTTTGGAAATCTTGTACCATGCGGTGTACAAGGGTGTGTATCACCAGCCGTGCACATGAACGTCCGGTGATGGCAGTTCGGACACCAGCAGATGCCTGCCTGCTGTTTGCCAACGTGCTTGTGCTTGCAAATGAGCAGGGACTTTGGCTAGGATATTATCCATCTGAGCCAAATGGGGCTATCTCTGCAGTCCCTTGGCAAATTTTGAGTAGGATTCAATCACTTTGTGTTACGAAACCATGACCGTCGCCTCCGAACGAAGTAATCACACTCATTTGGGCCTTTCTTGTTGGCGTAGGGGCAAAACCCCTATCCGCCGGCGAACTCTATGCACACCACGGTTGCTCAATCCTGATGGCTGTAACTGGGCTACGTGCCTACAACAATTGTTGGGTGTGTAGCTGCTTCTGCAGGTTCAGCAGGTTCAAAGGTAGAGTGAAGCTGCAAACACGATCCCTCTCCGGATTTTGTTGGCCGCTTGCTCAAACTTGGTCTTGAGCTCCATGTTGCCAATCGCTGCGGACGCCTGAAAATATGAGCGACAAAAAAATATAGTTCCAAAAAGTTCAAAAACGGTTATTTCGTGCCGACATTTGTGCTCTGAGCGCGGCTTTCCTGTATCGAGAAGAGCGGTCTAAAAAGCGACCGTTTATCTCGACCATTTATCTCAGGATCCTCAAGCGTATTGGCTACAACCGAAGCCAGACTACCCGAGGCCTTCCCCATACTTGAGAGAAGCGATCGTTTGGGAAAACTGTAAAAGTGTGGGAGACCCAGTTCCATGTGGCTCCAATAGTGACTTGCGTGGTGTCTTCTCGTACAAGACCTTCGCAGAGGGGGGCCAGTTCCCAAAAATATACATCTGACTTGCTGACTCTACTGTATCGCGAGTTAAGAGGCTGAGCAGCAGCAGACCGAAGAAAAAGGACTCAGCCAACACGACGGTTTTCAACGCGACTGACGCCGCTATTGCCGTTGGACCATTGCACAATGACTACACTTTCAAAACAGCTCTCTATAACGGAACTGGACGTCAAGCACGTCTTGTTTGCGCCATTGGTGATGGGTTGCTGTGTGGGGTTCGATGCAGTCGAAATTTCTTCGTAGCTGTATGTGGCCTACAATAGTAAATATTTTTCACCTGTGACAGTTGTCGAAGTAGTTCTTCGAGGCGCCTGAACACCCGAATGATTGAGCCCTCAAAATCATCTGCCCGCTCGATCACCTGCATCGTATGTGAAAATCGGTGTCATTCCTGTGCCTGCGACGACGCCGATGTTCATTCACATGCGGTGGGACCTTCGAATCACGCAGGACCCTACAGCCGGTTGCAAGAGTGATCCACAAGAATCATGTCACGGGTGCGCATGCATCCACATACGCATACCTCACTGAAACTTGCACCGTTACTCCACGCGAATGTCGCCTCCATCATTGAAGCCGTGAACGAGTTGACGTATTCCTCAGTCTCGATGGTGATCTTTGCTTCTTCGGACACGCCTGCTATGTGCCTTTCCGCGGAAAATAATCACGGGGGCACGACACGCGCACGAAAAAGTACACAGGTTGCACTAGTCTGCGACTGACGCGTCCTGCCCACGGAAGCAAGTTCAATTACGATGACAGCGGTTATCAGGAACCATTGGAAGTGGGATAGTTGCACGAACACGATAAAACAGCCACATTTCTATGCAGTGCATACCACAATTTATGGCCGCAAACAGAGACACCGTACAGAGAAGCGTCAAATCCTTGCGACTTACACGAAGTCAATATTAAGCCATTTGGCAACGGGGTAGAGGATCCCTCAGCCATACCAAAGCGCCTTAAGGCTACGCAAAGGCTCCTAAAAACAAGAGCAGCAAAAGGTGGATGGCGTTTCGCAGAACCCAAAACAAACAACTTGAATTTAGAGTAAGGGGGGGACGAAAAAAAACGCAAAATATCTTTCGTATACGTTTAGATTGAGAACACCCGGTGGACCAGCTACATGCGCGTTCAATCCGTTTGTTGATCGGGCATACACACGTGGAGGACGGCGGCGGCGCATCAAAGGGCCTAGAAGATCCGTCATTTTGGCCAAATTTCGGGCAGCTGTATGCAACTGCATACAGTTGACAGGACACCTCTAGAATCGTTTCTGCTTATCTGCTGCTGCTGTCAAGTCATGCGACGCCACTCACACACTATATCGGTAGGCTCTGGCAGTCTAGAGCGGTGTGGTTGCTTGTGGCGTGCTGTAGCTGTCGGCAACGGAGCACACTTTGCTGCGCTAGTTCACCAAAAATCTCGGCGGGAAGATTTTGCCCTCAAATCGCAAAATCTCAAGCACCTCAATCTCGCGCTACAAGGCCTAAACTGATAAGCGGCACATTTGTGATCGACGGGGTTGCTCAAGCTGGTATCTATGATTTTTCCACAAGGATGTAGAGGCTTGTGTCTCCTGGGGTTAGGCGCCAGAAGGGACAAATGAGATTTTACAGCAGCCGGCGGGGGCACCGCTCGGGATTTTTTATCTATCTAGCAGTTGGACCTGCGAGAAAATATATATGGTTGGGGAAAAACACACCGTCGCGGAGACCCGGGGACACGGGGGACGGCAAGGAGCCTTGCGTAGCACCATCACTGGGACAAGCAATGCATTTTGTGTTGCCGTCACAAACGGACCCCAATTTCAACATGGCGAAGCTTCGATGCCTGACGGTGCGCTATAAATTTATGGGGAAAAATCTGGGCTCCGGTTCCGTGCAGGCGGGGTTCCGCTCGAATGGTGCACAGCTACATCGACAATGAGGCTTTGGAGCTCTCAAAAGGCAAAAAAGCTGTCGTGTGGTCCCCGAGAGAGCGATTTTATGGGAGTAAATGGCTCAGGTGGACACAGAGATTCCATCGAGCGAAATAAACGCAACGATTGGGACGACACCAACATATTCTCAACCGCTGCACCATTTTGGGGCGGGGTGGACAGGAGCATAGCTGCTGCAAGCGTGCAGGGTTGGTTCCAAGGCATAAGTCTCCTTGTGAGGAAATCGCTTCTCTTGATCGCCTCTTCTTGTACAGCCAAAAAATCTTCTTCCTTTCGATTTCCAAAGCACATGGCGCACGGTTCTTGAGCCCAATGCGGACAGCACGATGGAAGTAGATAGCGCTGCCGAGAAGGGTGTCGTACGGGCTAGCGGCAAATCTGCTCAAAATGCCAGCCTTACCTGTGTCATTCTATCGTGTTCGAATCCAATTGTCTTGTCTTCCCTTTCTTCGCTGCGGCGAACTCAAGTCCATGATGCAGCCATCTACAAGAATGACTCCCGTGATGCAGTCCAAGAAGAGAAACGAACCGACAAAGTAAATGACTCCCGATAACCGGTGTGACAAGGGCTAGCGGCACACCTGCTCAGAATCGCCTGGGGAGGATCCCCGCTGGTAACATGTCCGTGTGTCGCGCTTGGACAAGATGCTAAATGCAGCAGCATTCAACAGTTTTCATTCATTCCACCACGCACATGCCCTTGCCCTTCTCCTCTTTCCACAATGTTAGCGGTGTGGCGGGAAGCAGATGTTACCCATTTTGAACCTCATTTCTAACGTACATGCACACTCGAGAGATGTATGTGAGGGTTGCTATTGCTAACGTCTTAGCTCTATGTCCGATAGCATCAACGCCGCCCCAACAAACAGATAGAACCGCCCCCAATCAAGCGGGTTGGCCAAACCCAGAAACATCCTCGTGTCTGTCAAGCCCTGCGGCACTGTGGCAACTCTCGCCCGAATCAGTCCCTCCTCCGTCTCCTTTGCGTCGCGCCGTTCCGCTTGAACAGCTGCGACGGTGATAGCCTCGCGTAAAGTGGCCTTTTCGTGTGTCCGTGGCTGCTAGCCTACCTACCTCACGAAATCTAAAAGGTCGTTCATCGAGTAGGCCGACCCGCCCAAACCCGGCCCTATTATAATTGCAACCTAAGTGCTTGTTGCATGGTGTCCCGCCTCACTCAGAGTTCTGAGGATCACACAAGGCGGGATTTTCCTCTTTACAGTATGATAAAAAAAAAATGGCGGGGAACGTGGTGCTGAGGTAAGTTTGCCACAGCACAGGGGGATTGTACGGGCAGGTAGGTGGACAGGGCATTGTCGTCCGCACCCTCTGTCTGAACTGTTTTTCAATACTGACCTTGGGGCTGAAACAACGAATCTGCTCTCCACCAGAGAATGTGCAACGTGTTTGTTGGACAAGGCAACATGTATGCTGTCTCACCTAGCCGCGTCCTGAAGTTGCCTGAAGGGACCCTGTAGTTCTGCCGGCAGTGATGGTGCAGTCTCGTCAGTCTTGGCCTGAACAGAAAGCACGCCGGCGGGCAAGATATCTATCAATGAGAGCACGGTCATCTCAGAAAATCACCTACCTCGTGATTGTTGAGAGAATAATGCCGCACTATGAACTTTGCAGGTGAAAGCATGGCGTGCGTGGCGCGCGGCGATTTACTGGGAAACCAACGAGCAGCAGCGTCGTTTTAAGAATACCGCCTACAGTGAAGTAAACCATTCAAAATAGGAGCTCACCTGGTGGACCATGCAACTGAGGAGAGCAGCACTCTGTTCAGGAGATAGCTCGGTGAATGCTCCACTGAAGATAAGTTCGGTTACCACCAGTTCGTCGCACGTGTTAATTTCGCAGGCGACGCGTCCCTTCAGCTGGATAACACCGTCCGAATCGCAGTGGCCAAGTCGACGGAGCACTCGCTTCCTCCGCCGCATCTGAACACAAAAGTCAGCGTAAACAAAAGCAACGACAACACGGCAGTACCGTAGCCCATGAAACACAACAACACGCTTTCGGTGCAACAACTTTAACACATTTTCCTGTACAAACATCGGCATGCACCCAGAGTATTGAGGTGTACTGGTGGGGCGTTCTGCTACGTTGAAGCAAGGTGGGATTATTGAAAACAAGAGAGGTCTGTGGATCTGTTGAAAACAAGATGGGTCCGGACAAAAAAATAACTCGCGGGGATTTCAGCAAGTGAACAGATCATGTGACAAGCCTCGCAGCAAACCTACATAAGTCTATGGCAGCATCACTACACGAGTGCTCGGCCGCGGAAAACAGTGGTGGCAGAGGCTGTGCCTTGCGTATCAAACAATAATGCGGCTGACAGTTGGCAAATACCAGTCGACAACGGTGTGAAAAAACCTTGGGGAAGAATAAGGTCCGCGAGCCTGCGTGCCCTGTGCTATTTGGCACAAGGCTGCGCTTCGTCTTGAGAGACAAGTAAAAAAGCAAAACACTGCGGTACTTGAGATCTATTTACCGATCGCCAACACTGCTGTTCCTGTTCCAGCATCTCAATGCATAAAATTACAAAACGTACCTCGTCTTTCATCACCATGTGTTGCACACCTTTCGCCTCCTTCCGAAGAAGCTTGGCCTTGTCAGCGAGGTGCTGCACCGCAGTGTACCTGGAATCAGAGAGAAAATACAGACGCCCATCAACCTGTCGTCTCTCCTTGTGATGGGGCAGGGTTGCAACGTTAGCGCTACGAAAGTCCAACAAAGCACACAATATCGAACACGAAAACACTGACCGAAGTCTCGAAGTACAGAAAACAACCGTGCGACCAGCGCCTAAAAGTGTCATTGGTAAGATGGTGGACAACGTATTTGCGAATGAAAACATTTAAGTTTTACTACTGTCACGTTCGGAGGACATTGGATATGCGTGCACTACCTCTGCAGCTGCTCCTCTCGATCTTTGTCGCTGTGAAACGGCAAGCCTTCCAGGCGAAGCTGCAGCTGTGTCTCTCGTGCCAGCAGTTTCTCCAGGGAGGAGTCTTGTATCCTCATGTCAGCGATTGGTTCCAGCTTCGGCACCTTGCCTTCGAGCCTGTATTAATCAGGAAGCGTGTCAAATGTTACGGCTCCGCCACCGGCACTTGTTCGATTGGTGGGGTATCTCGGTGCCGAACCAACTCTCTCCAATGCCGAAAATTAATAGAGTTCTCATGCTCTCATGTGCCCAACATATACATACATAGGCGAACTGGCGCACACCTGCGAAACGCTTCCTTCATGTTCTCCGCCACTGCTGCCCGCGCCTCCGCCGCTCGCAGGTCATTCGGCATCATCAGCCTAATCGAGCTCAGGTCCGCTATGGAGTCAAGAGTGAAGTGCACGACTCGCATCTCGCCGTCCTCCTATGAAATCAAGGCAACCGATCGACAAGCCGGACAGGTATACAGTGAGTAGTCGGATGAATGGCCGATGCCATCGTTTTGCATGACACTTTCAGAAAACCTCACATCAACAAGCTGATACTGATGGGGACGCCGAGTCGAGGGCAGGTGGGCAAGCGCGATGACCGTATGTACTTAAAAAACAGCACATTCACGAACATTCCTAACAAAGGCTTTGGGCGCAAAAAGGCGCCGCGGGGTACATACTCTACCCTGTGCCTGGAACCGTCTCGACGGACGAACCCTCGTCGTACTTCAATTTGAGGCATTAGGTCATCTCAGGTACTTTTCCACGCGCACAAGCAACGGTTAACGAGGATGCAAAATAATGTAACCCGTGAGACACTCACCATGGGAGTAGGAGGATAGATATGTTGCCCTCCTCTACGCGCGCTCTCTTCCGGCTTGCACTTCACCAGCACCCCAACTTCATACTTGGCCGGATCGCCGGCCTTGCTGGAGGCCTTCTTGTTCAAGTCCACAGTGGCTCCCCATCCCCAGTCCGGCTGGTTATCAAATGAGAGCTCCGCCTGGTGCCCGTTTGCCTCTCTCCCGTCTGGCTTTTTGTCTTGGTCTCCATGCCTAGCAGGCCATCCTCTCATGCGAACTAACCGTCCTGCCTGCGGTTGTTGGGTGGCCACCAAGGTGGACACGTTCGGTACCGTCACGTCGTAACGTTGAATAGTTCAACAAACACAGAACGCTGGCCAGAACATTTGTCGATGCCAGCAAATTGTTCAGGACCCATGAACATGCCCGTACACGCAATAAGAGCAGGGACACCACTAAGCGAGCAAGCCACCCAGCATTTTTTCAGGCGCTTGCCGTGTATCCTTACCTGTATATAGGGGAGACAGTTCTCTGGGCGTTGGATCACGCGGCACACTTCCGCCCGAGTCCGCTCGAGCTGCTGACGTACGAGGAAGTACTCTGACGTACGTTCTTCGTCATTTAGCCCAGCTGCGAGCACTTTCTTCTCGCTGTCCAAATCGCTTGCCTCCTCCTGCCAACAAAAGGATTCCAATGCTCGTCAGCGAATTCGTTGCATTCGAAAAAAGTGCAGCTTATCCGAGGGTTACCATAAATGGGTTCGTGTGAATTTCCGAATTACATCCCAGAAACATGCCCCGGATCTACAACGCTTCTACTTCAACCTACCTACCACCCACCTGTAAATGGTTCTATGCGCGGCAACTGGGTACAAAATGTGGGCCAAACCTCCAAGGCTGGCGCCGATGCCTCCTGTTGGAATTGGTTAAACGAGCTCTTCACCAAGAAATCGGGATCAGCGTCTTCAACTCGCAGCATGTTCAACAGCATGTTGTAGCTGATGTGGTAGGAGCTGTTCAAGGCATCTGCCTCCCCGTAGAGCATTCCTGTGACAAGAGAAGGCCGGCAATGACACCTCTGGTGAATGTATTCACCGGCAATGGAGTAGATTGCCCTAACATGTTTGTTTTCGTCGTATTTATTATGGCGAAAGTCCCCCCATTTTTCATGGTGAGACGTTTACTACACTTTTCAGCGTATGTAGAGTACTACACTTTTCAGTGTATTTTTTCGTACAACTACAACCATCCAGGATCACACAGGGGGGGGTAAACACCAGGGCTTTTTTCTTCTCTTTATTTATTTTCATGCCCTGCCTCCCTCCTGCGGCGCGTGCTGAATTTTATTTTTATCGCGAGAAGGGTCCCGCCATCCCTTTCCCTCGTCAACGGTGCTAACGTCGAAGTTTGGTACTCACGAGAGCTTTCCAGCTGCATTTCGCTTTCACCCGCAAACTTTGTAAATTTTTCACCCCATGGGGATTCGAACTCACAACCTCTGCGACTAGCGGTTCACGAGGATACTACTAGACCACGGGGGCGTCCGGCTTACATAGAATGTACCGAACCAACAGCAGTCCAGCTTGTCCTCACTGCTTGTAATCTACATAAAAGGGAAGTCGTCTTATTCGACATGACAGCTCTTGGAAGACCTGCACCGTCCTGACCTGCGCTTGCTACTTGCTAGTTTTGTGCTATTACTAGTACCACTTACCCTTTGCCACCTGGGGGTCCATCTTTTCGTCCAGCATTTGGATAACAATTCCTCTGTCGTCCTTTCCTCGCCTTCCTGCCCGACCGCTCATCTGGATGTACTCTCCTGAGGTGATCCACCTTTGGGAAAGACGGAGAGGGCGAAAAAACAAGCGCTACAACCGTGAGAGGCAGTACCTATTTATCTATTTACTTCACGGGGAGGGTAGGATGCGCCACGTGCAGAAATCTCAGGATGTGCGGTAGGTCTATGAGTTGCTACGCCCTCGTTCTTTGAATATTATTTTCCCACCATGAACTCGAGGAGAGTGAACTTTACAGATACAGAGTCCCATACGAAACGACACCGAGCCAGCTAAGCCAGCTAGTGCATGACGATCCCATCGCAGCGAGTTACAAAACTCCTGTCGAGAATTCTTGTCGATGCGCGACCGCGACCATAAGGTCTCCACTAAAATGTTGTCTTGTGACCTTTGCTTATGAAGTAAATCGGATGGGGGGGGCTCGACAGCAACACGTCACCTGAAATCTTGTCCATCGAACTTCCTAGTGTTGGTGAACACCACTGTCCGGGCAGGCATGTTGAGACCAATGGAAAAAGTTTCGGTCGCGAAAAGGATCTTGATGAGGCCCTCCTGATGAGAGTGACAATGACAGGAACGTTGCAGCGTGCAGCAATAAAAAAGACGACAACGTGTCGAAATGCATCAGGCTTTGGGTGCTGCCTTGTTATTGCAGTATTCTACAGAGTGCGGCGCACGGTCACGCACCATCAAGCAACGTGGCATGATATCCACGCAACGCTTCATATCAATGAGGCTGAGCACCAGGGTATCACAATCGCGGGACGTCTATACACCTCCACGGGCTCGCAGACAAAGGCGTTCGTGCCGTAAATCAACGCCGACCAACCTGGAAAAGTATTTCGATGACCTCCTTCAAGATGGGCAGGAGGCCACCATGGTGAATGCCCACCCCTCGTTTGAGCAAAGGCAGGATGGCCTCGACCTGCATTGTGGACGCACGACATATGAAGGGGATTGGACCTGGACGAAGACCACAATACAAGTAGCCAAGTCGGGTTGGGGTCGTAAATCTAGCGAACATTTGATCGCCACTCCGCAATCCTTGTTTTGTCAATCACACCAAGGTGGATGCTGCCCGTGAACTCATACGAACTCAAAGCGAATCTTGTGGGGTCGGATGTTTCTCGTTCATACCTGAGGGAGTTGTCGGTCTTCATCTGCCAGGGACTCCATCGCGTTTCCAAACACTTGCTCCACGAGAAGTTTCTCGCTGTCGTCGTTAAAGTCGAGCTTGGACATCTGGAGCGCGTTTCCCTCGCACTCCCTACAAGCATTCGGACAATGTTGAGAAACTGCTGTTCAACGCGTCATGTGCGATGTGATCCCGGGCCAGGGAGTTATTCCACCCGCCTTCCAAACAAAGTGAACGGATGCCTTCCAGTAAATATTTGCGGTAAGAGTTGTTCAACAAATAAAGTCCTTGGATGATAAATTACGTATCACGGATAAAGAACCGCATGAAGAAAGAGCCGCGCAATTCCCACCATACCATGCCACCCAACCACAACAAACCAACTCACTTTTTGGCAAAGCTGAAGACGATCGCCGGATCCAGGCTGCGATCCATTACCAGCCTTACGATCTTGTACAAATCGCTTCCTTCCCCCTGTTTTTTCGCCTGTTTCTTGGCCCCAAAGGTTTTCTTCCCTTCCGCGACTGCCTGCTCTTCCGGAGTTGCTTGAAGCTTCGCCATTGCTTTCTGAAACATGACAACACGAAAGCGCCGGAGTGTGCTACGTGCTCACTCCTTGTCGCCAGTTGATGTATGCATGTCCAGCGGAGCAAAGACTCGCCGTTAGCAGATTACACTCCAACGCGCGCAAAGGATGCCATGCTGCTTGGGTCACCTGAAAGTTGTTCTCCCTGAAGCGCCCCTTGTTGTCCACCACCAAGTGCAGTCCTTCTCCACCGAAAGGGAAAATGTAATGCTCAAGAGGCACAGGCCTGATGTGTTGGAGAGACAACGCCAAATCCGCGAATGAGGGTCAGCGAAAAAACGGTGTCTCTTCACGCACGTACTGTTTCCGAAGGTGAATTGAGACCGCACTTTGCATGAATGAATGTGCTATTGGACCCACGAAAATCGACCAAACGCTCTCAGTTTTAAGTGAAAGTGCTACCATTGAGAATGCAATTTCACACTTCACCTGTAATCGGTGTACACCACATGGCATGGCTGGTGGTGTGTCTTCGCGATCCATCCGCAAAACTCCTTCGAATTGGGTATGGTCGCGGAAAGGAAGACGAAGCGCACCTTGTGCGGCAGCAGTATGATGCTTTCTTCCCATACAACGCCCCGGTTCTTGTCTCTGTGCGGCCCAGGCAGAGTGTGGGACGTGGGCTGCTTAGCGGTTACCATTGCCAACAAAAAAAAAACAATACATGCTTGTCCGCGGGCAGACAGGCCTATAATAGCGAAAAACACGCCGCGTATGGACCCTCTGTTAGTGACACACAAGGATCGGGGATTGGAGTATCGCCATGTCTTGGTTGCTATCCTCGTGGATTGCGCGTAAAACAGTTACAGGCCATGTGCTGTGTATTCCGAAATAATGTTGTTCACCTCATGTAGTGAATCTCGTCGTAGATGACCCAAGCCACCTCACGCATCACCTCGCTCCCTCGGTAGAGCATAGACCGTAAGATTTCCGTGGTCATGATGAGGCAAGTGGCGCTAGGGTTGATGGTGATATCGCCCGTCATCAACCCAACGTCGCCAAACTCCTCCTGACACGCACCAAGTTTGTTGGGTCAGATATGGCCGAAGAGACTGCACGTCGTTCCTCACTACCACACATGACAAGTTGAGCAAAATACGATTGGCGAGTAAATCACTATTGAAAGACTACCATGAATGAATCCTTCAGCCACCCCCTCACCTGTAGGTCTCGGAACTTCTGGTTGGACAGGGCCTTGATAGGACTAGTGTAGATAACCCTCTGCTTGTCTCGCAGGCACTTGGCTATCGCGTACTCAGCGTTCACCGTCTGCAGGAAATGGCATTCAATGGTCCTGTGAGCTGGTGAACACCCTACTTGCTTGCAATGGCGCGCACAACAATGACCTTCTGCCGGGCAAACTCGGGCGTCATTGCAATCATCTCGAATATCAAATGTTTCTACTATGCCCGTTCGTAAGCACTGCTACATGACGTGGTGGTCCTCTGACATGCTCTCTCCCTATGCATGATGGAGTCGACGACGAATAAAGAGCGATGGCCTGCATACAAAGGGCCATCCGCAATGTTTCCCTACCATTTGAAGGAGATGTGCGTCACGGGCATGACAACACCAGCTGTACATGATTAGACGGAACAAAAAATCCGCTCAGCAGTTTTTCTCCAGCATGGAACGACCTCTAGTACAATTTGTAGTCACCACATGTGGATTATTTGCCTGAGACCACGGAGTTTGTATACGCAGGACCAATCCACATCAACAGCAGAGGCGGAATAGCAGCAACGGCATCAACCCACATCATCAACCCACTATTCAGGTTTCAAGGTCACCCGCAAAACTCATTTCAACATCCATCGACTCATCACTCCCAGTCGCGCAGAAAACCACACACCTTGCCGGCCGACGTGTGAGCCGACACTAGTACCGATTCATTGCGCTCGATGTACTCAATGGCCTGCTTCTGGAAAGGGTCGAGGGTGAACGGGTACTCCTTGGCAGGTTTCGGGGCTGGTCTGTAGGTCGTGTCCGGCTTCCAGTCGGCGGGGTACACCGAATACTGACAATCAAGAGCGACGGGGGGGGGAGTGGGTATTCTCGAACAAATGAGCAATTGGTGTATGGACAAGGTGCGTTTGAAGGACCGAAGCGGAGAAAAGACGCACAATGACGTCGTGATGGTGATTGGGTTATTTTCCGAAGTGTCCCATGTGCGGAAAGCAAACAAAATTGTACACCAATCAGTCGTTCACGAAGTTCTGGGGCCAGCTCCTGGGCTTACAAAAACTGGAGTGAGGTTGATATGAAAGACCTCTTGCGTTCGCGTGTTCTCATCACGTACGCGTACTGCACCCGCCACCGATTAAGAACTGGCGGTTAAGGAGCCAGTGTTCGAATTTTCAACTCTCAACATGTCAGTAACCTGACCGACGAACAGTTGCCCAGTTCCGAGGTGCCTCAAAGAACATAACCTTCAGTGAAGTGTACAAATGTGGCTGCAAGATAATCGTACAACAACGGTGATTTCGAGGAAGGGCGGCGGGGGCGGGGGGGGGCTACTCTTATGTTTGTCATGCCTCAGCGTTTAGACCATTGACCACGCGTCCCTGTATCCATTCCATGTAGGTCTCTTTGATTCCTATTCCTTCTTTCAACATTCCGTGCACATCTAGACCAACCGTTGTCCTTGGTTTCTTTCGTTAGATTCTATTCTTCTCTCTCGGCACAAGCAACAGATATCTTCTCCTTAAACCCCTCTAGACCTTCCGTTTCCAGCGTTTCACTTTTGTCAAATTTTGAACCCTCATCTACAACCTTCACTCCGTGGGTTGTCTACCCCTCTTCTTGCTTGCCCACTCCGCCTCCCAAGCTACTCTTGGCAGCCTCTCCTTTCCCATACCGCGCATGCGGCACTGCCATGTCAGCTTCCTTGCGTCTCTTCCCGATCGTAGGGATTGGATCCCTAGTTCTGCCCTGACGGCTGCACTACTTGTGCGCTTGGAGCATCCTAGGATGATTTCGCTGCGTTCATCTGCGCCGCCTCGAGCTCTTTGACTACCTTCTTATTTCCGTCCCATACTTCTCCGGCGTACTCTAGCGGCGGTAAGATTACCCTCCTCAAACCTGTCCATTTGATGCGTGTATCGAGGTGCCGGTTTGCGAGTATTGGGTACAGTTTCCCTGCTCGTGCTTTGCCCTTGTCCGCTACCTTGGACATGTGTGCATTCCACGAACAGTCTTTCGAGATCTCTACTCCGATTAGGTGTACTGATCCACTACTGCAAGCTCCTCGACCCCTCACTTCCATCTGTACTCTGCTGGTTTCTCTCTGTGCTCGCTAAATACCATGACGGCACTCTGACGGCTCTCTTCTTAACGTTGACAGACAAACTCCACTTATCAGCAAACTCCGTCGCTGCGTCAATCTGCAATTGAAGTCAAGGGTATCAGACATCTCAACAAAATCATCCGCAAACAGCATTCCCGACACCGAAGTCTTCCCTACCTTAACCCCCTTCCCAATTGCCTGTTAAGACTTTCAACAGATCGTTGATGAACACCTGGAACAACGTTGGAGACAAAGTGCAACCTTGTGGGGGCCCCTGTTTACGTTGAAGAACTCAAGACAGTTCTCCGTCTAGCATGACAGCACTTTTCGTACACTATGTCATCTTCAGCACTCTCCACAATTTCCCCTTTATTTCGCGATGCAAACCCCCCACCCAAACTTCCTTAGTAGTTCGACAGTTTCTCGATGTCAACAACCATGCACTATTTGCTGTCTCCCCTGGTCAATTTCACCTGGAAATGTTCATGCTCTTTACCTACTTCCCCCCTTGCTAGGCAACGTAGTCCCTCCCTGTCACAGCAGTTCTTGAACTCTACCTTAGTCATGTCCATTGAGATCCCAAACAGAAGCAGCTCCAACTTTCTCCCTTCCACAGTTTCTGCTTTCAACCTTTCGGTTTCTCACCATCCTCATTATCTCTAGGTCAACTGGGCCGTGGCCGCTTGATTTTTGTGTGTTTTCTGGAAGGTATACGGAATACTCGGCCTTCCCAATCCGGGTGTCCGGTGGGGGTTGCGGTTCCTTTCAGTTCTAGGCGCTAAATAGCGCCTCCAACATGGGCTCGTAGTCTAGATCCAAGTTTGCACCTCCTGGCACAAGTACCCCAGTCTTGGACCGGGCGCTCTCTTTAGAAAGCACCCAGTCGTCCCCCGACCACCCAATTGATCATCTCCGAACCCCGGCGGCACAAGCTACGTTCCTCCTGGGAGATCATTTTCACCACAGAAAGTTAAGGGAGGACTGCATAGCCTAAGATCCTACTCACACGCCAGGATGGAGCGTACACCAACGTCCGCTTCTCAAATACGCTTCACCATGGGTTGCTACCCCACTTACGCTCCCGAGTAGACCTATCTGCCGAAAGTTTGGCCAACAATTCCTTGCTGCTTCATACTCCCTCTATCCAACCGGAAAACAATGCATTGTGCGTGCCGCACATAAAGCTCCGCAATTCGTGCATGGTTGGTTAGTCGTTTGTCAGTCTGTCCTCCATGTTTCATAGATTCACTTGAGGCAACGAACATTCCCCTCCACCGTCTGATCCATTTTGAATCACACCGGAGAGTTTCGGGATGTCTTAGCTCCAAGTCTTCCACCGCCCAATGGGGACTACCTGTTGTACTTTTTTTTACAGACAGTAACCTTGGGTAAGCTTGTGCTTACTTTGGACTGTACCCTCCTCTTCCTCTGGGGACGGGAGAAGGGGGGGGGGGTCGTATGTGGGGCATGGCCTCTGTTGTTCAGGGGGTGGTTCGGGTATGGGGAGGGCGGGGGGGTGAGCCCTTCCCAGGCGAGCATTTCGGAAATCCTCCGGGGTGACCCTCCCCACCTTTTTTTTTTTCTAATCTGGGGGAAGGAAATTAGATGGTCGGTCACACACGTTGTGCCCCCTAGGGTGCGTGCAACACGTGCACGTGGGAGTGCATGGGGCTTGCTGGCTACCTTTGCCCTCTGAGGTTTTGGAGGAGTTCGTCAAGTTTTCTTGAAGTCAAAACAAGGGGTGTGATCCTCGAGCGACGGCAGTGCGAGGTGCGAGGTGATCAAGGGCCAGATCACACAGAGCAGCAACTACACCTCACGAAGGCAAACCGGGAGGCGATCGTAGTAGCACTTGTACCTAACAGTGATTATGCATATTGTGGTTTCGTTCTGGCATCTTTGAAGCTCTGCGTAACTATGTACGACGTGTTGTACTTCTTTGCACAGGGGTGCGGAATGAATGCAACACGAGTCCAATGCTATGGATGTGTTCATGTCTCGGTGCAGTCGACTGGATGCTCCGTGCACACAGGCCTACATCACACTCTATTGGTACAGCGTGGTATACTTTTACGCATATTCAGCGTCTACTTTGGTACAACTTCAGGTCTTCAAGGGTTACAACTTCAGGTCTGTATTTGTAGGTGGTCAGCAGTATCTATACAATCGACAATCCCAAAATGTACGGCGTACATGATTATTAGGAAAGTACATGGATGTTGCCCTGCGGTCCTTACCGACTTCACCAGAGTACCATCTTCGCGCACGGTCGAAGATTCTTCGCCCTCCTTCAGCGCAACACTTCCCTCAACCACTGCCGACGCAGCCGGATCCGAGTCGCGTTTGGCCCTCTCCTCTTGAGCCAAAGCTTGGCGTTTGCTCCCTCCACCCCCATCAACCGCTTTGCGTTTCCCGGACGGTTCCACGGCTTCACGTACGTCGTTAACTTTCTCTGCGCCATCGAAGGCACCAAATAAATCGTCCACATCCATGGTGTCTCAGCTCGACTGCTACCTACAGCAGAGTGGATGGATGGTGGTAGCAGCAGCAATGCGTTGGATGCTCGCCAATAGGGGGTTCGCGCCTAAGAAAATCCGAAAACCCACCCCCGCGGCTCTCACAGGCGCAAACCACGTGCGCGTGCAACGCACGCGGCGTGTCTCCCATCTCCGTCGCTGCTGCTGTTGCTACCGCTACAAATCGCCGCAGGGGATGGCGACATCGAGGAAGCGTAAAGAAGGATCAGTTGCAGCTGTTCAGGTGTGTTGTCGAGGACAAGGAGATGCGCTCTGATTCGATTGTGTAGTCGAGGACAAGGATACCGAACAAGTGCGGCATGACCAAAGATATGGAATAGTCTTGCTTCCTCAGGCAACAGCAGTCGTCTAGACTTCAGCTAACCGGAGGGGTAACTGGCAGCGGTTGGTTTTGGGGTTAGGATGGTCGAGTCATTGAATCTGCGTCTGCAGGCGCGTGTTTCCTACCACATACAGATAGAGGTTTGTTACTACATACAGATAGAGGCCTTTAGATTAAACTCGCATCCCTATTATGCGTTCTACATCTCAGTATAGACTGCTGACTTTGCGTTCGCCAGAGTGGGCCCGTAAGCCATATCACGGCCGGACAATATGCATAAAATCTACCATCTGATTGTGCTGAGAGCCCTGTGGGCCATTAGTCTGTGCGTACCGGTGAAAACCAACCTCAGCCCCGGGTCAGGGCTCCATGTTCGTAATTTGACAGATCATTGATTCATAATTTGCAAATGTTGGTGTTGTGGCATGCCATGGAGTTGCCCTCCATGCCAGGTGTTGGCAAGTCCATAGGTAGGTGCGCCTTTATTATTCGCATCGACCGTGCTACCCGGTGACCAATGAAAAGACGTTGGTGCCAGCGGAAAATATCAAGGTCCCTGGAACGGCCAAAATTCGAAAAACGCACACTGCTCTATATGCGAATGCCACCATGAATCTCTCCCCATGTCCTTTCACAGAAACACACAGCTATAGCTCCACGTACATGACCTCGCCTGAATATGTAATAGGAAGCCACTAAAGCAAAGACAGGAGGACAGCAACAAGGGGCATTTCAAGCCCAACCAGGCCAGGATATCGTGGTATGCTGCATATCCTCCAAATTTGAAATCGTACACTCCCCAGGATCCAGCAGTCATCGTGTCAGCACCTATATTACTCAGCAGCAGCAGCATAGACGAGTCCAACATACAGTAGTAACACATGCTCTATCATCATAGCCCCGCACATACCCTCGCCCCAACCTAGAGAGCCACTGATGCAAAGATAGGTGTGTGCTGGTGTGTGCCTGTGTGCTCGTGGGAATTGTGGGAAAATCACAGGAGCTGTAAAAGAGCCGGCAGGGCTCACATTGGGGAGGGAGCAGAGAAGTACAGAAGACCAGCTATGGCAAGCTATGGGTCTACAAGCATTCTCACTGAGCATTTTCACTGATCATTTGAATATACTGAAAATGGAGTAGTTTAGGCGGCTTGACGACTGATCGTTTCGAGGCCTACAAGCCTAACCTGCCCTCCGGCCGCACCGTGACCACGCATCAACCCTTCTATGACCCTGTCCGTGTCCACCGTCCTGTCGCGGGCTGCCCTCATGGCCTATGGGTGGAGATAGCTGTTCGTCTACAAGAAGTACACTCTCTCTTTCTGTTGTATGCTTCTGTCTCCCTCTCCCGCACTTTCTCTTCCCTTACGAGCTAGACCCAAAGGGGTAAACTCAGGTGTTCGGAAAATTACAGTACAAAATTGCTCCACTTGTACAGTACTACTTTGTATCTTTCTGTATTTACGTAGTGTACGAGGTAGTCTAAAGTACTGCAACAACATAGCGGTACCAGGTAACAATCAATCTCCCGTTGCCGAGCAAACCCAAATTAAAAATATGCTCACTGCATTCAAACTTTCTTTTTATCTCTTTCTTCTCTTTCTTTCTTTCTTTGCCTTTCGTTTTTCCATCCCTTTGACCGGGGACCGGGGTGGTCGATCGTCTCTTTATCCCGATCATGGTTTTCCTTACTGTTGATCTTTTTTTTGGATGGAAAACGAATCGCGCCTTGGAGAAATTTTCTGGTGTCCTTTTTTTTTTTTTTTTGAAAGGTGTACCACCTCCCCCTGCGGAGGGCAGTTGGGTTGTGACCACGGAAGGCGACTGCGTCAGTTGGAGCAGTATGGACACCTAGAAGGTACTGAGCGGAGACCGGAACGGGTTTTTTTATGTGAAGACAACAACAACAACAACAAACAAGACACAAAATAACTTGGTGTACGCACAGTTTTTCTGAAGCTGAAGGTAGAGGTCAACGTGTGTATGCATACGCTCAGCTACCATTCGGACGCAGTTTATCTGGGCTTCACCACCTACCACAGTCTGTGTTGTTTGGTCTTGCTAGCGCCATACATTACATGCGCGTATTCTAACACTCGGAGCTATTTAGACAAAGTGCGTGGTAGGTTAATCACACCAGAGCGAAGTGAACAGGGGCGATAAGTACCACCTGTCATGCTGTGGTGGCGTTGACGTTGGTTCGAGGAGTATTTTCCAGGGGCATAGACTGCCGGTCGCCCCGGTAGTCTAGTTGGCCCTCAACCTTTCTAGTGGCCAGGGTCAGGGGTTCGAATCCCGGCGCAAGCGAGCTTTTCTTTCAAAGTGAGTTTTTATCTCGCTTCATTCCTGGCCTGGGTGGAAAGCGCTATTAGTAGTTCGTGTGTACACAGAGGGAAGAGAGTGCTGCACTCTTCTCGCATTAAAAATCGAAGGCAAAGCGTATACCGCAGGAGGGGTGAGTAGGGGGGCTCAGCGAGAGGAACTCTTCTGTGTGACCACGGGTTGGAGTATACGACACAAATGCTGTGAGCGCTGATTGATTGAAGTGAAGTCAAAAATAATACCATGGTATATAATAATAATAGATCCATCCCGTTGGCCAACGAATGGTTTCTCTCGGGGTTGTTGCCGCTGACAGAGTTCTGTACGGAGAAAATGGTCTCAATGCTGTGACTGACTCTACCCCTCAGTGTTTGGTTTCGGCAGGTGTCATTGAGCTTTCACTGGTTTTACGGGTTTTAATGCATTCTTCGACTGCCGTGTCGACGGTTCTTCTCTAGAGCAGGGTTGAGTTGTTGAAGTTGTGCCCGTCCCTTGTCGATGTTGTCAACATGTTAAACTAAACGTGCCGCTGGGGCCAGACATTGCTGGGCGTGCCGGGGCACAATCGGTACGCCGCCAGACGTTGTGCAGCGCCCAGGCGAGTCCTGACACAGCATGTTTGTAGAGATCCGACTTGGCGAGACGATTCAACGTCATTGGTAAATGTCGATACAAATGTATTGCATGTCAGAATGAGAGAAATGAAAATGTAGAATGACGTCTCCCAGAACCACGAGACGCCGCACCCCTGAAGATATACCACTCCCGGTCTTTCCACCAACGTCTATCTATGGGCCATTTGCTCCCCAACCAATATATAATATTCACTGCAGCAACCGTGTAGCGCGATAACGTCAACGATCCGGCTATGCTGGAACAACGCCACGCCTTTTCCAGGTACTGAATTGTGACCGCACTGCGGTCCAGTTATGCATACCCATCGTTTGCGCTTTTTGAAACAGGAGATGCCTGGCCCAAAGTCACCGGTCGAACGGAGGAAAGAGACACAACCGATTCTAACAGATGTGGAGCAGGTGGAACACAACGGCCACATAGTTGATAGAACGATCAAGACGGTGAAGGGCGGCTGGAGGCAAGACCTGTCAAGCATCATCTTGCTTCTGGTCCTGTACACTCTCCAAGGGATACCGATGGGCCTCAGCGGGAGCATTCCCTTCTTGCTTGTAGACAAGGTGAAACAATTAAAGCAGTGCGTCCTACTATCCGGTGGAGTTCTCGTCTTGTAGGATGGTAGCCTTGGCGGACGGGAGAGGCACACACCTATGGAAAAGGGGTATACGCAGTGTGCATTGTTGTGCCGTCACAACTGGTGTCCAACTCTCGGAGGTGTCGGTCGCTTTGCTGTCACGTCTCGTAGCGGCAGCCTCGCTCGGTTGTAGTGTGTCTCCGTAACTGACGTTCTGGCCAGGTGTGTGTAGACACAAATTGGCTGTGTGTTGACACGCATTCTGTGCCGGATCAGGCCCTGAACACGGCAACAGTCTCACGCTCGTTGCCGGCTTGAGTCTTGGCCCACAGACATGTTAATTACACCAATGACAGCTCAGCATTACCACTGAACACCGCTGGCCAGCAGTTACGCAATGCAACCACCGTTCTGTCCGCCTGTTTTTGTAGTTGTGGCCTTCAGGCATGGTGCATCCTTCACGCGAAACCGTACAAGAAGCGATCCGCGATAATCCAATAGACAACGTGCACGTGTCGATCTACGCCGCCCATGACATACTCCGTGTGCACTCACCACCAAGGCACACAGTTGACGGCAATAGCAAGCGTCTTCCAGCGTGAGCTCGCGAGAGCGATTCTTGTCTTTGGTGGACGAGTACAGTAGTGCTGTTCCATGACTATGACGTTCAGGTCGAGTTTCTTACGGAGGGGGTGCGAGGGGAGGAGGGCGAAACGTTCAACAGCAATTCGTCAGTGCAACCTTGAAAAAGGGTGTCCCTTGGAGTAGAGGACCTCATTGTGGGCATATTCGATGCTTCCGCTTTGCACTCCAGGTGTCTTACTCGGAGCAGGCAGTCTTCAGTCTGGTGTCAACACCCTTTAGCCTGAAGTTGCTTTGGGCCCCACTGGTGAGTCACTGTATGTTCTAGGTACGTTTCTCCGCTAGTTGTCGACGGACCAAGTTAAACATTTTCGACCAACTGTTGTAGAAAGCGCATTAGCTTAGGTGCTAGCGGCACAAGCAATGACTTGGGTACATAGCTACATGATTCAGAGTTTGCTACGTGTTAGCCTTTACACAAGACGGCACAAGCACTTCAACCGATCAGTTGATCAATTAGTCTATCTGCGGATTGATTGGACAGGTTGACTCGCTGTACTTCCCGTCCTTCGGCCGGCGAAAGTCATGGTTGGTGCCTGCCCAGCTCCTTTGCGGAGGAATGATGCTCTTGGCCCGGAGCGTGATGGATGAGTGGACCGGGGAAGACGGGGGGGTACCGTACGTCAAGACGTTGACGGCTTACTTTTTAGCTTTATACTTCATCATGGCAACTCAGGTATGCGCCCGACTGGTCTCGTTTTATTGTAGGCCGCCCTATCCTGTGCTGACGCCCGTAAGCATGAAACAAGCGATACTTTCTTCGCAAGCGTGGCGACCATGAACAAAAAAGGACTTCATGATATTTGACGGCTTGGTGCGAAATTGTGGCCGCGTTTTCACTTCCCATAGACCTTGGGTTTTTCATTGGCTTGTGTCTACAAAGTCGAGGTAGACGAGCAGGAGGGTTGCAGATTGCAAATACCCTGTTGGGTACTTTTGTGCGACTCCGTCGCTAATTTCCGGGACCGAGTTGCTGTGTTTTGTCGGTGCTCACGTGCTGTGACACATGAAAGTGTGCGGCGAGTAACACGCGCAATTAGCGTACCGATAATGCATGTTGACCATGCCCGACCTCTCCTCTACGGATTTTTGTGCGCGTCAGGACATTGCTGTGGATGGATGGGCTCTAACGATGCTTTCTCGCGAAAATGTGGGGTTCGCATCGACGTGCAACACCATCGGGCAAACGCTGGGTTTCTTCATTTCTCAAGTGGGCTTCCTTGCTCTATATGACCCTGGCGTGTGCAACAAGTACTTTCGGTACGTATTCGCGCGAGCTTCATCTATCGTGGTTCTGTCCCCCAATCTTCGCACCCTGCTCGCGGTAGACATGACGTCCGATATTCGTGGCCTACTATTCTGCTGATAGTGATGCAAGTCTTAACCTTGTGCTGTGGTCTCATTGTTTGCTTTGTTTGTGCGTCAGATCTGAACCATCAGATGTAGGAATCGTCACCCTTTCCACCTTCCTACAATTTTGGGGTGCGGTGTTTCTGGCGACAACGATTTGGTTGTGCTTATTCAAGCCCGAGGTCGAAAACGGAGTCACCGACGAGACTTTGGGACTGGTTGACACTTACAAGCAGGTGTGTGGGGCTGGCGGGGGTTGAAGCGAACTGTCTATGCATAGGGCTGAATTGTCGAGGACACGCTAGCTGGTAGACCTCTGTCTCGCCACTTACTGGTGCCAACCGACGTGTGGGTTTCCTGGTTGTCATATTCTTGTCCAGCTCTCCACACCCCACCGGCCATATGTTTGTACCTCGTTGACGATGCCATATTCGGTCATGTATGCCAGTTGGGGGCTCATTTATGAACACCCTCAACCTACAGTGACCATTTATCCGTCCGATACTGCCGTTGATCTCTGTTTGACGCGACCCGTTGACAGCTGTACAAGTGTGTGCAACTGCCGTCGGTGAGGTCCTTCTCTTCGGTACTTCTCACGTGCCGCATAGGTAAGGTTGCCACATGCACGGGGGTGTCTAGGAGCACTTTGACTGTATACCGTACCCTTGCCGTGTCGTAAAGGCCACCTTGTTACTCCGTAGCTCAACAGTTCCTGCGGAGGCACCCACTTGTTGCGCACACATGAGGTTGTATATACCTAATAGGTTTACCTTGTCCCAATTCTGTGGCATGAACTCCAAGCACTTCCGAATCATGCTTGGCTGCCCTTGACACGTTCTCGCTCCGCTCTCTCTCTCTCTCTCTCTCTCTCTTTACCGTAGCGTTTGCCGTCACCGATGCTGCGACTTCCCTGAAGCTTGTCGAATACGGCATGCCCAAGGAAGAAATCGCAATGCTGTCGCCAATCCTTGTCGCCCTTGGGATGATGATTCCAGTCGCGGTTGGCCGTATCACGGCCGGTTCCAGGCCCATGACAGTCTTTCTATGGGGATATCCGCTAAGGATCGCCGTCACTCTCATGTACCTAGTGGTGCTGCCGTTGTCAAGGTAAGCCTGTTACTAGACACTGGCCGAGTGAGGAAGTCCTTGGAAAAGTCCTGTGATCCATGAAGACTACACCGAATTCGTGGCCCACTGTGGGCGTCAACAGTTTGCCCATCTCTGATCTACTGTGGATTCCTCCAAACCTAAATGGTTGTACTTGCTAAAACCGAGCCGACAGCAGTTTTTTTGTTATTTTCGATCCCATTTATTCTAGGAGTCGGTCTTTCACACATTTCGGTACAATTTATAGATACACCAGCCGGCATCACACAGGAGGAAGGCAAAAACAGGATTTTTTCCTCCGCCTTCCTTTAAGGGGTGCTTGCCCTAATTTTGTGGCGAAAAGGATTCTGCCGTTCCTCCCCCTCGTGGACCGTTAAGTCGTACTGGTATTTGCGTACACACGGAATTGTCGCTCCCATATTTTTGGGCACTTTGTGAGGAAACTTGCAAGTTTGTGGCTACACCGAGGTTCGAGCCCACGCCCCAAACGTCAGACGGTCACGAGGGTACCTACAGCCCTGCTGTTGTGAACCAAGAAAACATATTAGATGCTAGCTGCCCTTTTCACCTTGACCGTCTGACTTCCCGCCCTTCTTTATTGGGTCACAGGAAAGTGTACATGATGCCTGGCGGCGACAGCGAAGAGGAAGAAGGGGACGACACCGGCGGCGGTGACACTGCGAAGTTCTTCGGGTGGCTCATAACTGCAGTTGTATTACACGAAGTTGCTATGAACTGCATGTTCGTGGTGAGCCGTTGTTCTATGGTTTTCTTCATGTGGGAACATGGGTAGCGTGTCATTCATCTACAGATTGTAGCATAGCTGTGTGCCAACACCCTCCGCTTTCAGCGACATTCTCCTTATAACGAATGCGCCCCCCCCCCCGACGTTTGCTTTCAGTCCCAGATGGCGTTTTGCTCTCGTGTCAGCGATCCAGTTATTGGCGGGACCTACATGACGCTTTTGAATACAATCGGCAACGTGGGAGGGAGATGGTGAGCCGCCTGTGATGCAGTATAAAAGCCCAAGCCTTCCTCACCGCAGGTGTGGATACACGTGAATATCGCGGCCGAAATCGCACGCTGACCAAAATATTTCCCATCTTGCCTTGGCCGCACAGGCCCAACTCTTTGTCCTTGTATTTGCTGGAAAAGCTCACCTTCAGCCACTGCGTAACTGAGGTCGGAGACATTGTGGAGGCAGCCTCTTGTGCCACGGATGACGGGAAGCAACTTTGCACGGGAGCTGAAGGATCCTGCGTTGCCTGGTTAGATGGATACACTGTGCAGGTGACGGTTCGTCCCATAGTGGCGATTGCCGCGACCTTGTGTCCGGACGGAACCCGATTTGGCTATTCGCTATAGTCCGAAGACATGCAGGTCGGACTGTCGCTTTTTACATGAAACAAATATCCAGCCAAGACGGTTGTGGCCAGGCCCGGAGACCCATGCTCGTTAAATGTTTTTACTTATCCACTGCATTAAATGGGACGGCTTCATGCGCCCTTTTTCACGTTTTGCCACCTGAACCCGAGATACCTCTTCCATTACTCACCCGTGAAAGAATCACCGTTCTGAATATTGGATAAAGGTCATGAAAGCGGTATCGGAACACACGGGGGACCTGACCCCGCCTGGAGAGCCTCTATTCTCTTGCAATGCAACTGTTAACACAAACCCCAAAACTAATTTTACAAGGACTATTAACGACCACAGCAACATGATAAAAAGTGAACGCCGTGCCAGCTCCGCGTCGAATTCCTGAAGCACCTCGAACGTACTTTCACATCAAATCGCTTCTCGTTGCACACTACAAGGGGTTTTCGCTACCAACACGCTACCGTGTCGCCCCACTACCATGCACTTGCTGACCCCTCATCGTCCCAACATGCTCGTGCGGCGCTCAACGTACTCGTTCAGGCCTGGGGCTGCTCTCTCATCGGCTTGATCTGGCTGGGATTTTTCGCACGCCGGGTACAGCGAATGCAGGACCTCCCGGCACAGGCTTGGATCGTGTCGACCAAATCTAACTGATCCCACAATGGATTCTCCACGATGCGAGATACTAAGTCACATTTTTATTCACAACGGATACAATATCCCTAGCAGGCTGGAAAACTTTTGGAAGAGATCTCGTCCATCCAGCTTGTCCCATTCTGCTACATTCACTTCCAGGGTAGCAGCGGTGGTGCTCGATGTTTCTGAAGGCCGTGCTGGGGTGGTGTCTGTCAAAAAACCAGCCTTGCCTTCATTTCGGGGACCTTGCCCGTTTGGTGTACATCCCGAGGTTGACCAGCTGCTGCACGCGATCTGAACTCCCGCCTGATGAAAAAACACCAAGAGACATTTGCGGCGTACGTCAAAGCAGGTCTAAAAAGCCCCGAATGGACATCCGGTTCTAAGGAAGCATGTTGAACTATTCGTGTTATCCACAGCGAAAGAGTACCACCGCACCAGGTGGGGTAACAAGCGGTATGTGAAATCGGTATGGGTGGGGAGGGGGGAGATCCAGGTACCTTGCCGGTCGGGTGGATGTAAAACCTGCTAATCCCACGCACCAATCTCGCCTATCTACGTCATGATCACGAAGACCACCAATCATAACGCAATGTGGATATTCGTACCCTGTCTTTCTTGGGTATACTGCTGTACCCTCGAATGAATGAGCTTCTCCCACGGGTAAAGCCTCTAGCGACCTGCCGTCGGTGCCACAGTACCAGTAGTGGCCTGAACAATTCCAGCGGAAATAGTTTCTCGGAAGCTCCTTAACTAGCCTTTAACTTGTCATTCGTTATGTTTTTCGGGATTTCAGGTGAACTGCCGAGAAACAATTACTTCGTAGTAGTAGTAGAATTTTTGCTTAGGCGTGGCCAAACATTTCGCGATGAATTTTGTGGGTTTGCGTTGATCCCAGACTTTTGCTAGGTATCTCCTTCATTCCTTTATGCAGCGCTAGTGGCGAAAACGACACGTGTTCTAGCGGCAACAACTCACCCCTTGGACATAAACCCGGACCTCGCAGCTGCTTCCACGGGGTTCCTCCGTAGATTTGGGACCGGATTCCTCTGTTTTCGGGCTTGGCAAGAGATAGATTGCGGCTGGCTCAAGCTCAACCCTGAAACAAGCCGCTCCCTCCGACATAACCCCGCTTGTCCACGACGCAGTGATATCCCCAAATGTAAGCACGATTTGACGACAAACCTCGCGGAGCAGAAAATGCTCAAGGTCTCGTGCAGACTGCAGCTCCACACTTCGCTGATCTGCGTGGTTCTGCAGACCAGGGAGGGCACTCACAACGATCCCGCATCCATCGTCCAAGGACGCCCTAAAATGGAAGCAGTGCCCTACGGTCAAAGTAAGAGCACTAGTGCGGTAGGTCTCCTCCAAGTGCGTCCATCGCACGGCCAACGGAAGACCGATCTTTTGCGTAGAGCGACTCACGTTCGCCACTCCCTGGACAACCTGGTGCACACGGGTGTGCAATTCCGGCCAATGTAACAACCAGAGCGCAGTGTTGAGCTTGATATTTCAGTTGGACAAGGATGTATCAAATGCGATGAGAAACTTCCTGCAGTTGTAATACGCGAAAAGGCAAAACGTCAAGACGTTCAACCCATGCACGCAAACCCATACCAAAAAAGGAATCTTCGGGCGTATCTGCTCCTGTGTTGGTATCTCCTGAGCGCGTGTTTCAAACCGTGCGCCAAAAACACGCACATAGTTGACTTACCTCCGAGCGAAAAAGGTGGTGTAGCAACACACGTCCAACCGACTTCCACGTACTCGCGGCCGACAATCGCCCCCCCGTCGTGGCACCTCCCGTTGTGCTCCCTCCAGATTCGGCAGAAATCCATGCTCCTACTTCCCGGCTCACAGGACTTTTTGAACTGACAACCCTCCCTGCAACCTCCTGGGTTCGCTGTTGTTCCCGGATAAGACTCCCGCAATACAACAAGGCCAGTTGACAGAGGGACGCCGACTGCGTCATCGTTGGTCCCTTAGATCTGTCGTCCTCTGGGCAAGTTCCGCCTTTTGCAGGCGAGCCACTTCCAGACCCCCCACTCGAGCCACTTGATGGACTCTCGCCTGAGACCAATCTATACCCCAAGAGAGAGTGGCTGTCCATTTCCACCATTACTTCGTCGTCCAACACGTGCGCCACCCGAGCCCTAGCGTTCAGAGTGGAAGTCGTCATCCCTCGTGGGCTCAAGCCTACTAATCTCCGTTTTGCTCCTGATTCTATCCTTCCGACCACTTCAGGCGCCATCGCCGGCGTCCCCGTACGAGGTCCGACAACATCCGAGCCGCATCTCGCATCTTGATGAACCAGCCATCCATCCTTCCCGTCAACCAAAGCCTCTGCCTTGAGAGTTTCAAAGACCTCCTCCCAAAAGACGCTATGCTGTAGGCGAGATATGTGTTGCTCAAGGTCATCCATCCGAACATCGCTCCGTCTCTCCAACTTGAGCTCCGCTCCTCCATTACTTGCGGGTGGTGGTTTTCGACAGTCTCCCGCTGCCGCGTCCGTCCTTCTGCATCGATCGCTTCGTGCAGGAAAGCTAGCTCTAAGGGAGTGTTCGCACATGCCGGTTTGAACCGATACGAGCTGGACTTCAAATGCCTTGAGACCCTGCGTATTCGAGGGTTGCGCCTCCAGCCGCCCGCCCTCACCGCACGTCAGTTGGAACAGCCACGGATGCCTGTGTCGGGTACCCGCAGCCGCGGTGAACGGCACAGACTTGCCACCGGCACTTCCGAAACTGCAGTCGACTGACAGCGGTTCGCCCACTTGAAGCGGCACGTTGACCTACGACCACAGGGACGACGCACAGAGGCGCAAAGGCGCGCGAGGTTGACAAGGGCTCCAGATGATTCCCTCCGTCAAACCGAATGGCAGGCTGCTACGCACACATATTGTGTTGCACAGACCGCTGTTGGTCGTGAAAAAATCACACAAGTTTTCAGTGGTGGCCGTTCGTGCCACAACAGCAGTCACCTTGGCGTTTCTAGTCCAGCTGACTGACGTCTATTCATTGGTCGGTCGGCTAGCGCGGTCAGTGCCAACAAATAAAAATATCTAGACACACTGCTGTCTGGGGAACTCGATGGCTGAGTAGACAACGTGTAATAAACTGTTTGCCTACGTGCAGGAGACTGACGAATTTTCATTGGTAAAACCGTTGTAGCGGTCCCTGCTCATGAAGAAACCCACGCACACCTTGCCATGGTTCGGGGCCACTATTCTCCAACTCTTCCTCAGATGCACCACGCCTTGCTGAAACACCAGTTGCACTTTAGTCGTTTCTCGGAGTCGCTTGGCTCGTTCGCGAAGCTGCTCGGCCGCCCCTTTCAACTGGCTCCTCTTCATGGTCACCAACGATGGGAGAGCTTCCGGCGGTACACCGTCTCCAGGTCTCGCCTGTAAGAAGAGGACACGCCAACGGAATCTCGATTTACGCACATGATCGAAAAATGGATGTGGATTTACGCGGGGAATGACAATGTTCCCAAGATATCCCCGTGTCATGTACAATACTGTTGTTCCAAGTTCCAAGTCTACATGTAGATCTACTGCCTGTAAGACGCTTGCCGTACGGAACTCTCGTGGGGAATTTGAGAACAAATTAATATCGACCAAATTGGTAGATAATACCAACACTGAGGAGAATCTGTTGGATGTAGCCGACTCTCGCGCGGGCATACCCTCTCACCGATTGGTCAGACATTGCCCTGGCTTGGTCCTCGTCACTTGGTGTCACCCTCTCCAGTGCCATGAACTCGCCCGCCCGGGCCAGATCGACAAGATGGACTAGCTGATTGAGCTCTCCCAACGCCATGTCAAACGACGTGACGGCGCTCTGCAACGGGTGTTCAGCTAAAGATGCAGATTCGTGAGTGCCTCCGCTGCCGATTGCTTCCTCCTTCTTGGCCCCGTTTTCAAGATCGTCATTGCCCTCCCCTGCACCCGTATCTCGCGGGTGACCGTGGCTATCGCCTTGGTCTTCAACTTCTTTGGCATGGTCGGCGAGGGTCTGCTGGACTGCAAGCTGAAAGTCGTCCTGGACAGAGCGTTCCCTGGAAAGGCGCCAAAGAGAGCGATAGGATGATGAACTTCGACGGACGCGTGCGTGCTGCAGCCATCACCGTACCAAACAACAATTTCCGCAGTACAACGCAACTAGAATCAAACAATTCAAGACAAACGAGTCATACCTGGCGCAAGAAGCATTGCCGTCGCCGTCGTATTGGTGTACTGGGTCCGCTACGAACGGTACCAGGGCGATTTTCTGAGGCGACTCTACGCCATTCTCGTCCTTCTCAGCACTTTTCGGTTTTGCCACGCCACCCTCGCTCACATCAGCACTTTTCGGGCCCATGCCTTGCACATGGCTTAGCTTCGTGGCCATATCAATACCGTTTTGGACCTGCGTCTTGGCATTGCTTGGCATAGAGACGGAGGGCACACACAAGGCAGAAAGAAGGAGGAGATCGAGAGGGGGCACGCGCAAAAAATAGAAGGAAACAGCACCCCGCCCCCCACCCCCCAATGCGACAGGATTCACGATCCACCGATGCGATTTGAAATTTGATTTGAGCCCATCGCGCCAGACACAGACAGAGCACTTTGCCTCCTTCTGGAGTGGTATATGTGGAGAGATGGAGGCCTTGTCGAGAAAAACGGAGAAGGAGAAGCTAGCGGAGTTGGAGGCGATGTTAGCAGATGCAACATGCAGTGGAGACGTGACGGGTGTGTGCGGTGTGTGTGTCTTGTCCGTCGTGGGTATCTCTATCTTGCTCTCGTGTGCAAGTGCTGCTTTGCCGGGCCCGTATGCATGTCTCCTGCACACGGCCAGGCGATCTATGCACCACATACATCTGCATGCATGGGATTCTACCGGATGTTTCTGCGCCATGCACCAGTACCGCTTTGATCCGATAAGTAGCGCTCCGAATAGTGAGAGGGTTCACTATTGGGGGTTGGTATGCTGTGGTCGACAATTTTTCAAATGTTTCCGTTTCGCCCGTGTTTCCTCGTCGTGAATACATTGTATATACAGTATACGACTGCTTATACTACGCGCCGCCTCCATCCTCACTCGTCGCCTTCGTACAGACGACGCCAGCTTGGTGTCCTTCGGCTCGGAGGAGCCAACTCCGACAAAACATCACTACGTCCCACGAAGTCCACGTGATGATGCCTATTCGAATACAGCACGCCCTTGGCGCCCCGTAGGTTGGAGTCGGGTAGTCGACACCAGCGTTCCCACTGCTGTAGTCGACAACCCCGAGGCTGGTCTAGGCGGGCGCGAAGTGGCGGACGTAACCACCCGAATCTATTCCTCCTCGTCCAGCTGTGCGACGGAGCGCTCCACAGAACGGGTAGCAAGACATCAGGGGAAACGACACCATCGTCACACCGATTCCGCTGCCGATCACGAGCGTCGTACCGACCGACGTCGAAGGCACCGGCACCCCACACCTGACCGAGACCATGAGACGGCATCAACAGTGGCGCTGCTGACCAACGAACTGGTGATCGTTCGGTCTCAGATTGAACAAAAAGATGTTGTGGTGAGGTCTCTGCAGCGCCAGTTGGACCAGGTGAGCTAGCCTTCTCGTTCGTATTTGTGCTCACAAGTTTGTGGTGGACCTGAAATTTGTAAAATGAATTACTTGTAAGTACACAGGTAGACTACGCATAGTCTACACCGCCAGCCTATGTATTTTGTCACATACAAAAGATGGGCACCGAACTGTCTTGTTGAGCCTGTTTCCCACAGGAGATATATCGCCGTATGCTGCTCGGAGAACCGTAGAAATACAGGTTGATCATCTAAACGCTATGACTTCATTGCCAGAAAAAATAAAAATACGCTAATGCTGCTGCTTCCCCGTGACATGGTATCAGGTATGAGGCAAGCGGTGACAGGTGACAGGTGACCGGTGACACTGCAAGATTTGACCAACATTCCCTACGGCCAACTGTTCCCCGACTCAGTAGTGATGCCGCCTCTCGTATATCTAGTATCCATACTATTTCTGCAGTGATACTTTCCCCGCCGTGATGAGGCACCGACTGGTACAAGACACCGACGTATGCTGTATGGGTAGCGACAGAAGGTATTGGCGCTAGGTACGTACCTGGTGTTCTTCGTCCTTACGGTCCACGGTGCAAACTAACCCCTTCCCCGGTACGTGTACCTCTTGCCTGCACGGTTTCCATTCATTAGCGAGGGGAACTCGAAGCGCAAACTCAAGCACGGGCCGAGGAGGATCTCGTGGCTGCATTGGCGAAGGCGTCGGGGCTGAAAGAGGAGTTGACCAGAACATCTCAACTACTGGTGGATGGAGCACTCGCAAGGTGATGCAACTGAACAACTCGGATGCTGCCATGTGTCCTGGTTACTACTGAAGTGTTTGCAATCTACGAGCCGAGTTGCTGGCCTCTCTCCTAGATGATGGGTTGTGTGGCCAGTGCCACCACTTCAAACCTCGTTCAACTCAGAGAGAGAGAGATTCCTAGCTATGTTCATCGCCACACCTTTTTTGCGCGCTTGCCATCAACTGCGCAGGCAACACCTGGAGCAGCGCTGCTCCGTCCTCACTGAGGAACTCCAGAAGACTGCAACAAGAACCACCGAGCTCGAGAACGAAGTGGCCGTCTCACGCGCCGAAGTGGTGAGGATCTCAGGGGCCCTCCACGCCCGACGGAGCACTGACGTGGTGGATGCGGAGAGGGCGTTTGGGGAGGAGCTGCAGCGGGTTCAAGAAAGTGCGGCGCGCGAGACACGGACCTTGGGGCAGGAAGCCAGCGGCCTCCGCACGTTGCTAGAACAGACCAAGAGCAAGCTACGGAATGCCTGTGGGGAAAGGTAAGCGACTACCCACGGGGAAGGGCTAGGGGTGACACTCAACGAGCTTCGCGCTCGAGGCGTTCCAGCAAACACGGAGAAAACGTTGTCCTTTGGTACACAATTTCATTGAAGGGTTGCACTATCGTGGAGTGGCCCATTGCTATGCGTGATGACCAGTTCAACATGTGCCTGTGCTTTTTTTCTCATCTCGTACACGTTGGCAGGGATTCCTGGCGGGAGGAGGCAGACTCTTTTTCGAGTGAGGCGGCGACGCTGCGGGAGACCGTTCAGGCCCTCAGGCAATACAGCGAGAATGACACCATAGACCAGCTGCTAGGACAGGCGAGTGCATAACTGGCCGACAGTCACAGCCAACCGCGTGCAAGCTTCGATTGCGTTCAGCGTTACTTGCCCTGGAGGATTTGAAGACATGCTTCTCTTATTGGGGCCGGGTGGCTTTGGATCTCAACCCCTAGTCTTGCACTCTTACGATAGTGTTTGGTGTTTCCTGGCGTTGAGGTATTCAAGTTCTAGCCGCACGGCAGTCGGGGATTCAACTTGTGTCTTTGTCGTATTTTTATCGATGTGTTTTGCTCAGGTGTCACGCTGGAAACGTCGCGCAGAGGAGCTGGAAAATCTTCAGCGGGTGGCATCTTCGCCAGAACGGTCCGCTTTCGACGGTAGCAGTTCAGAGACGGAGCCCAGTCGTTGCACAGAATCTGTCGAGCCTCTTCCTTCCCCGACGATGGAAGGGGGCCCACCCTTGGCCGCGGAGGCCATACCGACGACAGTTTTTCAAGAAGAGAAAGAAGAGCACGAGAAAGTGTTGGGGGATGGGCACGAAGCGGAGATACACTCTTTGCGGCAAGAGCTGTCGGAGGCAAAGAAGTCATTGGTGATGAAGGGAGAAGAGGTGGCTGCGGCTGTGCTGGAGGCGCGGCAGCAGGCTGCAATGAGAGCTGCGGCAGAAAGTTGTGTGGAGGGTTTGCAGGCGAGTGAAGAAGAGAGGAGGGTTTGAGAGGGAAGATTAAGTAGTGGCGAGGCTGATGTCATCGGAGGCGTCTTTTCGTCAATCTTTGTTTACCAGCAGCACTCGGGTACCCTGTTCAGCCGCAATCTTTGTTTACCAGCAGCACTCGGTGTACCCTGTTCAGCCGACGGGTGCGTCCTTGAACACTTGGTTGAAAGGCGGCAGTGTTTTCCCACGGAAAGACAGCACTCGTGTTCTCTGCGACATTAGCGCTGCACGGCAATCCTGTTGGTGTGAATAAAGAGTTCCGCCATTGCCGAGCATGTTAGCCTGATCTCCCCCGATTTGCATTGTCCTACAACTTGTGTGAACACCAGAGAAAGGCGGAGGCCAACGCAAGGGCAGCTCGTGAGCATGTGGTGGCGAGACGGGCCGCAAAGGCCAGGGATATGGCGAACCTTAAAATAGCCATTCAACAAGATATGGTCGATGAGCTTCACAAGTGAGTTTGCTCTCGATTCTGAACTTTAAGGTTACCCGTGCAACACCTGCATTCAATCTGCAACGCCTGACTACACCTTCTTTGAGCCCTATTCCACCCGCTGTGAGCCAACATTGAGTGGGTGCTTTAATGCCCGTGGTTCTTCAAACTCATCAAGTAAGATGATGGGGTGTTCGGCGTCGTTCTCACATTAATCCGTTTCGCCTCCTCCTTTCCGTCGGCAGGTGCCTTGTGCTGTTAAGAAGGCCCCAACGGCATAACACGTTAGCTACATATGGAGCGATCCACACGTGTTGCGTCCACATGCCTATTGAAACCTGAACTTAAAAATTTCACTGCGGTCCATGTACCACGCGTGTCTCGAACATTGCGGTAGGTTGCAGTGCGAGGTGAGAAAACAGCGGCAGGAGGAACAACAGTTGCATGGCACCACAGACACAGGGTTGTCTGAATGCTCTGGCGAGCGCAGCCGAGAACCTGTTGGACTGGACAAAGCTTGTCAGTCGGATAACACAATCGCGTCGATCGCATCGTCTTCCACGGAAGAGGGCGTAGTGGTGGAAAGCAACATTCTCAATAAAGTGGGCGCTGCGTGCCCGGCCTGTGGAGTGGATCTGGCAGACTCCGGTGCCGACGGGAGCAGCATCGTAGCATCTCCTAAGGTGACGGTGGTCTTGGAGGATGAAGCAGAGAGACGAGTCTCGGCCGCGTTGGCGTCGGCGGCAGTGGCTCAAGTGGGAGCCACCGCGTGGGCTTCCGCCTTCTCTGCAGCCAGGCGCTTGTTTCACACTGCGTTGGTGTCTCTTTGCGAGCAAGCTGACTGTTTGTTTGGCGCAGACGCAAAAGGGAACGGGCGGCAGGCACTCGTGCTGTCGCCCTTGGTGGGATTAACGACCGCGCTGAGAAACGAGGCGAGCAGCGCTATGGTCCCGTGGGCGCCCAGCGAGGCGGAGGCTGACGCTGCGGCTGCGATGGAAGTGTTGCGAGATGATGTTGAGTCATCCATGGAACGTTTCCGGTCTGCGTTGGCGGATCACTTGGTGCGGACGGCGCCGTTGTCGCTGACTTTGACCATGGCAACCGTAGGCTCGCAGACCACAGCAGAGCCGCCGACAGATTCTACAACAGCGGTATCCCGTACTACTACAGGATCGCTAACCACCGCCAAGGCCACATTACCACGGGCCACATCGGGCTCTCAAACTGACGAGGTAGGCATCGTGGAATTGAAGGTGGATCAGCGACACAATGTTGGTGTGCAGGCGGGCAATCTCGGCGGTTGGAGAACAGAAACTGCTCCTGGCGCAGGCGGAAGGGGTGGTGCACCAGCGTGGGAAGGTGGCATGGATAGTCGATGTAGTGAGGGAGAAAAGTATGATGGCGACCGATCGTGGCGGCCCAAGTCAGAAGATCACGCCCGAATGGAAGAGCTAGAGTTAAAGGCGGGCGCGCTTAGCGCCGCGCTGCAGCGAGCAGAGAAGGAGAAAAGCAATCTGGAGCGGTCGTTGACACGACGTTTCAAGCGCGAGAAGGTGTGTGTGCCAGCACGTCTGAACTTTTTTGCGGGCTTTATGCCGTGCCAGGGTTCACTTGCGGAAACGGTAAGCGGTGAGAGCGGGGGTCTCAGCAGCTCGAGCTAGTTTCTCAAGTCCGGCTCGAGATTTTCTCTCTGAAGACATGATAACGTGTTTTGCACGTTCGTGACGGATTGGGATAAGGCTGTGTCAAATGTTTTGTGACCTGTTGCCACGCTTGTGGAGATCGACGTAGGCAAGGAGCTATTGCGATGCGGATGATGGTGAAACAGATCGATCCAGGCGTGTGAAGTCATGCGATGTGCTGCGACGATGGAGAAATTGTTGGCGACGAATACTTGAAAATCGTGTCGAGTTAGAATAGAATGGCTGACGGAAAAGTATCGCATGCTTCTCTCTGCAGGCTATGCAACTCAAGAAGCAGCGAGATAAGTACGAGGCAGACATTGGCGCGCTGCATGTGTCCACAATGGCACTGCTTCAGGATGTAAGTGGTGTTTTAACCTTGTCCTTTGCCCCTGAGTTGAAGTACTGTGGTAGCCCTTCCCACGGAACTTCGGGAGAAATTCATTTGGTGTGCTTTTGAGGCGGGTCTTCTCGAGAATACCCCGGTTGTTGCTTGTATTCACGAAACGTGGGCGGGACTTACACATGGTTTCTTCTCGGGACCAACTTCTTACGAGTACTAACTACCGCACACTACCATTTGTACAGGTCCTACCGAACACCAAAACCGGAATATTGACGATCAATGCAGCGACGCTTTTGCTGTATGAGCGCACTTCGGTAGTTCTTGCAACTTCGCACATTACGATGCTCTGCCGTCAATGGGACTTTGAAAGCGCGAGTCGGTCACTAATCAGCGGGGCACATCTTGGGGTAATGTCTCTCGCCGAAACACCACCGAATTACGAGAGTCATTTTCGTGACGGTTGTCTCGTCATCGGCATGTATGTGCAATTTGTCGTGATCACCTGTGTATTGAGATTGATTGTGGCGCTTGTGAGGGTTCTCCGACAAGGTAAAAAATGTGGCGCTTAAACCGAACTTCGTGTGTCTTTGTGTACCGGATCCTGGGCCGTTCTAGCAAGGGAGGGGAGTGTCAATCGCGGCATATGGAGTATATGGAGACTTTCCTCGCTAGGGGCGTACCCCTGAAGCTTGCGTGCTGTGAGGCGTGTTTCCGTCCCGGTACCCTACCTAGCATATCGATATCGCCAACAGCTCTTGGATCTTGTTTGACCCTTGCGCTTCCCTTCGAACTCCCTTTACGCGTGCTTGTTTTTCGGTGCTCCAGTTCCCAATTAACACTGCAGCCTGACGGTGCTCAGGCGGAACAAAGGGACCCATTTGTCCGTTTCACGGGCTGCTGGCATCTGTTGCGCGTGGGTGCGATACAGAGGCGCTGCGTGCATCGTCTCTGTTGCATCTTGTATGTATGTTGTGCGCCTCCAAGTGTTGCCTCTATCTTGGGCAGGGCGAGTCGTATCCTGCAGCTAGCTTTGAAATATCGGAGGGTCCCAGTTGGGCGAGGGCTTTTCATGGCCATGGGACTGTGTCGTCTTGTGATTTGGTACGAAGGGCATTCGTTGAACGTATTTACTTTACCCATTGCAAGCAGTGTAGACGAGCACGCGGGGCATGTCAATGTGATGTAGCTGTGTGGAGTTTATGTCTGTATGATGCTCCCAGTCAGTTTTCTTCGTGCGTGTGCCACTCCGTACGTCCGATAGCACGCACCGGAACAAGTACGTTAGTGGGATACCTGTAAGTTGCTCCCGATCATTTTTCTAGGATATTTTGACACTCCGTGCAGCGTCCGATAGCACGCACCGGAACACGTACGTTTAGACTCAAAGTACGATGCATGTAACCTTGAAGGGCGTGTTGAACGGATATCATTCTTCTTGTGAATCACCGTTAAGCCGCTATACACCCCAGATCGTGCCTCGTTCGATAATTTCGGTGGTGTGCCATCTAGGTGCACTCGCTTGCCGCGTCGGTTGGTGTTTATTGAGTAGAAGAAACCTCCCAAATCGTGGAAGAGAAAAAAATGATGCTATAGGCAGTCTCAGAATTGGCTCTGTTGGCCGGGAAAAAAAATGAACATCGGCGGCGGCGTTGGCGGCGAAGCCCGCCGCCGTCCCGACCGCACATCTTGACTTCCTGTAGTGACTGGTTTTATTTCTAAGTCGGGGCAAATTATTTTGAAGTCTGCCGGAGACAAGGTATCACCCTCTCTCGCGATGAGTCCACAGGCTTCGACGTACGTAGTTAATTGTCGTGTTCGTGCTGTGTTGCGGGCTTGTTCTTGCACTGGCCTATCGGTGGGTGGAAGGATTCAACAAATAAATACTGTAAGCTTCTCTGTAACACCCGAAGGTGATCAGAGGGCCAGAGGGAACACGGGGCCGAGGCAGAGTGTGTGCAAGCTTGGAACTTGCAGGTGGTTCAACAGCCCCCTTCACCCCCCCGCGCGCGCGTGTACAGATAGCGCCCGCAGTTAAGAAACGTCCAAATCGGGTCGAGCTTCAATCCCTTATTTTGGGTCGAAGTACCGGCCCAAGTCATCCATTTTCTTAAAAGGCATTTCTTGTTGCTTTGGACTGTCGCATCCTCCTGATTCTCTTATTCCTTACAAGTACTTCGTTTTTCTTATTCCTATCTCTTGATCTCTGAGGACAATCAATCCACTTCATTCATCAAGCCCTCAAGAGAGGTGGTGGAAAGTGCCATCAAACCCGTACAACAGCAGAGAGCATGTGGTTGCCCGCGATGTGTGGCAGTACTATTACATACAGCACAGTGAACAGCAGGGGCGAGGGGGGGGGCGCGAAAACAACCACTCTGCTTCTTCTGTTGAGCTAGGTAGGGGGGTGGGAGCACCGAAGAATTTTGATTATGTCATGGGGGGGGTATCGCACCATCAATGTTTGTTTCTTACTGGCGCGTTTCTTACGTTCGCTGTGGCCGAGATTGAGCTGTGTTTTTTCTTATTTTTCGTAAAAACTTGAGCCTTTTTTTCTTAACAGAATGTTTCTTAACTGCGGGCGCTATCTGTAGTCTGCTACGCATCACAAACAGACCACACCACCACCATCACTTTTTGCCCTCAGATGTACAGAAATTACCATTGCACCGCGGTGTAAATGCTAATGCTTAGATGGCGCGTCCCGCAAATAGCGAGGACACAGAACATGCGCTTTGAAGCGACTTTCAACGAGCTGCATGAATGATCCTTTCTTGCAGTCTCAGCGATGAACTACTGCTGTTGTGCATGCTGTTGCAGACAGGCAGGTACGTACCAGCGCACCACAGGGCCATCAACGTGTGCGCCCCCCGTCCTTGTTTTTTATTTTTGTGTACATGCCGTTTCTTTTTTTCGGGGACACACTCGTCACAGCCCCCCCCCCCGCAGACTTCTCCCTCTACTGCTGTAGCCCGAAGGTTCCACTAGGCCTGCTGGCGTGGTCATTTGCGTTGTACGCTGCTCTTCTAGATCAATGGCATCTCTAACTGCTCCACCACCGCAAGCAGGAACTAAGCGACCGAGGAGCAGTGCTCAAGAACACCAGGTGACGGGAAATCAAGCCGCGCTTGTTGTATGTATCCGTCGCATGAGTCTTCCCATAGGCTTCATCCCGCCAACGCCTTCGCCCGTCTCCGACACGACGCCAGTACAGGCCTCGTGGTGAATACAGATGACCTGTGCGCGTATATGTTGGGCAACTTGGTGCCTCTGAGGTACACCGGAAATTTGAACCGTCATTTTAACGAATTGCTAATTTGAATGGTAGCACGGGACTGTAAGGAACCTCCGCAGCGTAGATGTACAGCAGTAGTCACCAGTCGACCAGCCTCCGCTTTGTCCAGATGTCCAGTTGATGAGACACGTTTCCCTCACCACTCACTGCAAAGATTTCAACACATCCCTTCGAGCGGGGTACAATTCTCTCGACCTCAGTCTTTCTCTATACCGGTATTGTATATTTTCTAAGACTGCAGCAGTTTGCTGGTGCAAAGCCATGCTGCTTTACCTTCTATGCATACAATTGTATGCTTCCAGAGATTAGCAGCGGCACACACAGGCCCCCACATATTGAAAGTCCCAAGTCTGCGCATCAAGGCGCCGTCTATTGAAGTCTGAACCCGGCATTTGGGATTCAGTAGCCTCTTGCGAGGATAATAAGCTTGGTTTTAGTAGGGAGTATGGGGCGGGGTTGGCCGGTTTTTCGTTGGTGGGACCGGAGGCGACTAGAATGCTTGCTGGTTGTACTTTAGACTGCTGTACTTCGTGGTGATATGCCTTCATTTTCAAACCTTTTTTTTTGTTTGTGCCAGGTCTCAGCACCAGTCCCTGATTTCGGTGCAGATTCTGACGATGATGTTGAAGACGTAGCGCGTGGGAAGGGAGGCGACGAAGGAGGAACGCCCTCGTCTATGATCGTGCAGTTTGCGACACTGGAGGGGGAGAACAAGGGGCCACAGATCGATGTCCCACTTGGTTCGACGGTACTGCAAATGGAGGAGCTCATGAACCAGCTCCTGGAGAATAAGGATAAGGTGCGCAATGCGACGAGTTTGCAGTGTGGAGCTGATCCGACCACTGCTGTTTCAAGGTTAACGGACCCGTTTCAGTCAAACTTCCTTTTCTTTTATCCCACCTCTGTCGCTCGCTATCGCTCACTCCCAAGCAACACCGAGGATATCGTGTAGTGCTTGCTGCAGCTAACGACCAATGGTTTGCTGCTTATCCGAACTCGGAATGTCTAAAAGTGTCAGTGTATCTGTTGGCATCTTAGTCTTAGGGCTCAAATACCATGACACTAAGGGACCTTGGCTTCTGCGCTTGAAAACCGTACACTGCGACGTATCTCTCTTCCAGCCTAAAATCCAAATCAAATGTCCCCTCGTACCCCTACCTTTTCCACCCCCTTTTTACGACGCCATCCTCTCCTCACTCTAATATCCATGCCAAAGGTCCTCGATTATCGACGCGACAGCAGTTAATACGGTGGTTGACAAGGATTCTAGGCTGACGTCAAGTCCACCATTTTTATGTACCTTCACGCATGCAGGACAAATCCAATCACATCGCTTTATTTTGTTTCGTCGTTGTACGAGGTAGAGAGTCCACGGGGAAGCCAGCTAAGGGCATACAAGCATGACGTAGTGCCGGACTGCTAATTTGTGTAAGTTGCAGCGATATCCTCCAGGCGTACGACTTGCGAGGAAAGCCCCCACTCACATACTCACAGATACGTTTCAGACGGATGCTGCAATGGTGGCTACTCTATACATGTACTTCTACATGAGTCCGATGCGGCTGGCGTCAAGTACCATCCACCCCTAATGGAGTTGTTCAGGGCTGTGCGAGCATCTTGCCGACCCTCGTGATGGCGCACCCTGTATGCAAGCACGCCACAACCCACAGCTCGACCTAACCTGGTACTCATCAACAGTTGCCCCGGAATTATAGTAACTGTACAGCAGTTGCTGGTAACATCATTTTTTCTCGTTTGCGCGCCACCGCGCGGAGATTTGACATTTGCACTATCAACGGATCGGCGATCTTGTACCATGTCGTTGTGTGTGTGTGTTGAGCTCTTTCATTCGTCTACTTTGCATTGCCGTCGTTCACTTTTTTGCGGCACATGTCTTCCGGGTAGGTGCCGTACACGTTCTACGTGAATGACGCCGAAGTCATGGAGACGCTAGAGCAAACCGTGTCGGAGCTAGGTGAGCGTGCCACCACCCGCTTGGTATCGTGTTTGTACGCGCTCAACACCGTTTGATGGAGAGCAGAGCGTCCTTTACGAAAACCTTGCGACGCATTGATTGCCTAGAAATAAACAGGAAGGCGAAGCGTTACACAAGCCAGACTGATGAATCCATCCGCCTTTATATGTATCCTTTCCATTTATCGTTTGCGGCGCAGCGGTTTCGACCGAGGCCGTCCTGCGTGTGTCGTACCAGCCGCTAGCGGTGTTCCGCGTGCGGCCGGTGACGCGCTGCACTAGCACCATGCCTGGACACACGGAGGCTGTCCTCCACGTGAACTACAGCCCAGATGGAACCATGCTTGCAAGCGGGGGCGGAGATATGACCGTCAGGTGAGTTCGACGCCTGTCGGGCCTATGCCGTACCATGGTATCGTTTTCTGTGTAGATCTGCCGCTGCTTGCACTCTCAACGCTTCAACCGGAGTTGGGTGTTTTGTCGGAGCTATCGTGGCTCTTGTTTTTTTACTCAAGGCACTCCTGGCGTATAATCGATGTATCTCGCGTCTTGGTTGCTCTCCGGTCGTCTCGCGGTACGTACCGCCGTAGCACGACAACACAATTCCTGGACATGCGACGCCCCACTTGTACTTCCTCCCTGCTTCCCCCACACCCTTGTCAATCAACTCCGCAGGTTTTGGGACGTGCAGACATCCCTTCCTCGCTTCACATGTAGAGGGCATCGCCACCATGTCCTCTGCACCGCGTGGGCGCCAAACGGTGAGTCGTGCGCCTTGAGGCTCGAAGACGCGTTAGTCTCCCTAGTGCAGCCATCAGTTTTGATATCGTTTTTGTTATCCGTTCAGAATGTGAAACGCATAACGCCGTACTTATCCATGGCTGCATGTTTCATTTTTGTTGTGGGTTTGCTCGCCAGGGAAACGTTTCGCGTCTGCGGACAGGAAGGGCGAGATTCGGCTATGGGACCCCTCGAAGGGGGTGCAGCAGGGCCAACCCCTGTCTGCGCACAAGCAGTGGGTCACCTCGCTCGCGTGGGAACCTTTGCATCGAAATTCCGCTGGGGAACGGCTCGCCAGTTCGTCCAAAGACGCCCTCATCAAGGTTTTGATGATCTATCGCGTGATCGTGTCAGTGTGGAGAGGAATTATGTTAGGGCGTGTTTCGATGACGAAGACTTCATTGTTCCTCTAAATTTCACATTCTAAGAGCGTGTGCATCTTCGGACAAGGCGTAAGTGTGTCGCCGGCTCTTGTGCGTAGCGCAGCAGTAGTATCTCTGACATTCCTTTGAAGGGTGCTTTCCGCGCTGTGCTTCTGTTACGGCTCTGACAGATCTGGAATACGCGGACTGGTCGCTGCGAAGTTACACTCTCCGGACACGCCGACTCCGTCGAGAAAATCATCTGGGGAGGGGAAGGGTTGCTGTACTCCGCAAGTCGGGATCGCACGATTAAGGTGAGCCTGGGAGTCTTGGGCACCGTTCGGCGAATCTGTCAACATGTGTGCACGCCCTGTGTGTTTCTTCAATTCAACAGAGTAGTGCGACATGCCCAACAAGTTGGATTCAGCTGTAAGGTTTCAGGGAGTACGAGTTCGTCCTATGCTTAGTGAGGGCATGCACGAGTTGCACCGCTGAAGTAAACGTGTTTTGAGCTTTTCTGCAGGTTTTATTACGAAAGCCATACAAGGCGGTGTACACAACTCTTTTGTGTTGCCTGTTCCCGTGGTGGATCTATCGTCGTACGTGCGCGTGGGACTGCTTAGGTGTGGAATGTTGAGGGTGAGGGCCGAAAGCTGGGAATTTTGGTTCGAACGCTCGTTGGGCACGGCCACCGGGTCAACACCTTGGCCCTCAGCTGCGAGGCGGCACTGCGGACGGGTCCTTTCGGAAAGGAGGAGTGCGCGCTCAAAGCGGTGTCCAAGTTTACTCCAGAAGAGGCTCAAGCCGTCGCTCTCGAACGCTACAATCTGGCAAGGTAACTTGAAGAATCGTCTCGAGTGTTTTTCTTAGGCATCACAATCTTGAAAATATTTCTTGAAACCATTTTGCCGGTTCTTCAAGCGTTGGTCAAACGTGCTCACAGGGTTACATCCTACATTCAAAGGTTCCCCTCGTAATCGATTGACCTTTTGGCCAACAGGGGAGGGGAACCCGAGCGATTGGTATCAGGCTCCGACGACTTCACGCTCTTCCTCTGGAATCCAGTTGACGGCAAGAAGCCGTTGGCGCGCCTGACTGGCCACCAGCAACCGGTGAATCACCTGGCCTTCAGCCCGGACGGACGGCGTTTCGCGAGCGCCTCGTTTGATAAGAAGGTCAAGGTGTGGGACGGCCGCACGGGCACGTTTCTCGCGACGCTCAACGGGCACGTGAGCGCGGTGTACCAGGTAGCGTGGTCTGCGGACAGCCGGCTCCTCGTTAGCGCCTCGAAGGACAGCACAGTCAAGCTGTGGGAAATGGTCGCGCTCAAGAGGTAAAAGGTTTTAACCAGAGTTTTGTGCGCTGAAAGAACAGAGGCTTGAACTGATTTTCTCAGCAGCGATTAGTGTCCTTCGATTGACGTTCCTGCCCTCTGAGCTGGTCGTGGCTCTTAGTCGCCCCTTGCAGCAACGCTGCAACCCACTCTGGGCATGCCACGCCAATAATAACAGGTCGAGATTGAGTATGGCGTGTGCTACTTGATGAGGGTCGTGGCACTTGAGCACACATACATGCTGCCCATGAAACGAAACACACCCACACGAGCCATCCCCCTAACGCCGATTGCACCTCAGGGCGAAGGCGACTCTTCCAGGGCACGCCGACGAAGTTTATGCTCTCGACTGGTCTCCCGATGGATCTGCCGTTGCCTCCGGCAGCAAGGACCGGACTATCAAGATTTGGGCACACTGACGAGCGTTTGCTCGGTGTTGTGGGCTTGTTGCATGGTTTGGCGAGTGGTCAGCGAGGAAAGGCAGCGGTTTCCACGGTGGTCTTGTCTTGAAGTTCTGACGTGATGCTCTTCTTGATACTTACACAAAATATTATGGGGGGGACGTAAAATGCCCGCTCGCGCTTCAAAAGTGATGCTCCTGTGGTTGTCGCTGTGGTTGCGTCTTGTTGTCGCTTCGGAAGAGCTCTTGTATCTGGAAAAAGAGTGTTGCCATAGGTCCGCCAGGCGGTCGCAGCAGTGTAGTCCAAAATTGAACTGTGGACGAATTCTTGCGCATCACAACATGTTTTGAGACGTTGGCTGCGTGCTTTGGGACCTCGGCTGCCGTCCGTGTAGGACCAACACAACTTGCGCACCGAATCATGGCCGAGGTGCAGAGACGGAATCTACCAGCTTGGGATCGTTGCGTCAGTTCTGACATAAGTACGACTTTCTTTAGTCGCCGTCATTTGTCAACTGTCGGCCACTCTACCACCACGGTGTGGTTCCGTCTTGTAAGCACGATTAGCGCAGTTTACAGAAGCCAGGGGTCTCAACTCGATTATCAACCCTGTCACATGCAGATGCTAGCAAGCTGTTCGCGTTATAAAGAATGGCCACACAAGTCCCTGAAAAGGTCTCCATAAAGTACAGCGCCCACAAAGCGTTGAAATGTCGGCCGCATCAAGATATCATGCCGTCTCAACGTGTGACAGCTACTATAACATGATCGCCGGTTCTCGCCCGCTCCGACTATCGCTTCCCCCTTTTCGCGGCGTCATCGATATTATTCCACATTGACCCTGGCCCTCCTGGCCTACTAGCATCCCCCAGAGTCCCATCACGAACTCTTTTTCTCCTGTCTGCCGCCATGTCGCTGAAAAAAGGAAGGTAAACCTGAGTGTAGCCTTGCAAAAACACAACGGGCGGGCGAGGGTGCAGGAGCATATGTATGCGATTGGAAAGTGACAACGAATGTCAAATCTGCTGCATCATGATCTCGTATGCATGTGGAATGTCAGCTGAAGAGCGAAGAGCAACTTTTAGTCTCTTAACTCTCAACTCTTTGGCCGGATTCGAACGGGCCAGGTAAAATCGCGAGCGAATCACCTTCCACTCAGTGAAGGCGGAGTGCCAACAGACTTGTGTCGTTGGGCTACACGAACACTGACAATTAATGTCCACAAAATTCCCTTCAAGCATCAGTGGTGACGGGGGGGGGGGGTGGTGGCAGCATTGCCTTCCAGGGCTTGTTATCCGGTTCCGGCATCAGGATAGTTTCTCCGACAGTGTCAGGTGAACAAGCTCCAAAACAACTACTCCACATTCCACAATAGCGGTGGTGATCCTCGCCAATCCTTGGAATGATCGCGACACGACTCCGGCGTCGCCGGCACACAACATTTTCCATACGATTGGCGCCCGCACAAAGAACCTTTATGTAGTTGTGGCCGAAGCTGGGGTGCTTAGATCCGAATGTAGGGTTGCGACAAATGGCCGCTCAGTAGGTTTTAGTGCAGAGGTTCTTAACCGGGCTCACAAGTGATGCTCAAACGTAATGTTGATCGTAAAATTCTTGAGGACGCGGTGCAGTTGGCAGATCCCTCCTCTTGAAAACGTCGTCAGTGCTTGGCTATCTTGGTTTTCCAACTCCATCGTGCAGCAACCGTTCGCTGCGGTCGCTGGTGTTAAAAGTTTACAGCAAAGATTGTAGCCCTCGTGACACAAAAAAGATTAGCGGTTCGCGATTTTCCAAGCGAAACTTTACCATCGGCTTCGGTGAGCTACAAGCAGGATATGTGAAGCTACTTTGCAGTCCTGTTTTCGAACGCTTCAAGCACACAGAATCCGCGCGAATCAGCGCCGATGCGAGTGTGTGTGGCCGCGAAGTCCGTCCCTCACATATCCCACTCGTCGCCCTAGTCGATTTGAATGCCTGCGGTTATGTAGATGTAGGTCTAGCCAAAGAAAATGCGCTTGAAGTTATCGAAAATTGGACCCCACAGCAGCTTCAAAAATCCTGCTTGTACAATTGTAGCTCGCCGAACTCGATGATAAAAGGATCGTTTGGAAAATCGCCCACCTAATCTGTCGTGTATCACAACATCTTTAGCTACTAACATTGCTACACCAGCGACCGCAGCGGACGTTTGCTGCACGATGATAGATTCGTACTGGTGTTGGAATTTGGAAAAACCAGACATGTAGGCGTTTCTTGTTTTTTTAAGGGGAAATCTGCCTACTCCACCGCTACCCTCAGTGCGGGCGCTAACTGCTGTAGCGGGCACTTATGCTTTTGCGGTAATGGCCGTGTGGGTGAGAATATTAACTGGAGTAACCCCATCACAGATTTCGTCTTGTGTGGGTGAAATATATTGTTGGAACGCCAGACGCCTTTTTTGGGTTTGTCATAAGAGGTGATCATCAACAGCAGCAGCGGTTTGTCACACGCAGACTGGTTTTTAACACTAGCTCTCCAGAAACACCATTGTCAGTTTACATTCCTAACATATGATACGAAGAGAAGAAAAAGGGAGACGTGTGCGCGTATGCTACAACGCACGGCAAGCAAGACAGAGAGCAAAAGGCGTCAATGCACAGAGGCAGCCTCTTGAAGGGAGGGGGGGGGGGGGGGCGTACTCTTATGCTTTGCATGCCTTAGCGGTTAGACCATTGACCACGCGTCCTCGAGAGGACGGAGCATTGTTCCCACAGGACCGATCACCGATGGTCAATCGTTGCTTTCTACTTTGCCAAAGGTGGCTCAAAAATGTCTTTCCTAGTCTGTCTATCCTACCGATGTCACTTCCCGCTTTTTCAAACCACTTTCTACTCCCCAGTACAGCTACCGTCCTCTCCTCTCTATTCCATGCCTCAAACATCTCCCTGTACGTCCCTTGTATTCTTCCCAGCTCGGTCATGTACACTTCCCTCTCCTTTTCGTACCACGGACATTCCGCGACTACATGAACACTGTCTTCGCATTCGAAGCCGCAATCGCATTCGAACTTGTCGTCTTCGTCGTCTACCGTCCTATGTCTTCGTCGACGTTCGCGAAGGCCTATGTCCCCGGTCCTGAATTTGACCTTAAGCTTTGTCCCTGCATCCATTGGTCCATGTAGGTAATCCTTGAACCCTATTCCTTCTTTCAACATTCCGTACACTTCTAGACCCTCCTTATCCTTGGTTTCTTTCCTTAGATTCTGTTTTTCTCTCTCGGCACAAGCAACAGATATCTTCTTCTTGAACCCCTGTAGACCCTCCGTTTCCAGCGTTTCATCTTCGTCGATGTCCAATCCCTTCCATACGTCCTCTACAACCTTGACCCATTCCGTGGGTTGTCTACCCCTCTTTTTGTTTGCCCACTTCGCCTCCCATACTATTCTCGGCAACCTCTCCTCTCCCATCCCGCACATGCGGTACTGCCATGTCAGCTTCCTTACGTCTCTTCCCGACCGTAGGGATTGGATCCCCAATTCTGCCCTGACTGCTGCATTTCTTGTGCGCTTGGAGCATCCTAGGATGATTTTCGCTGCTTTCATCTGCGCCGCCTCGAGTTCTTTCACTACCTTCTTATTTCCTTCCCATACTTCTCCGGCGTACTCCAGCGGCGGTACGATTACGCTCTTCAAAACCGTCAGTTTGATGCGTGTATCAAGGTGCCGGTTTGCGAGTATTGGGTGCAGCTTCCCTGCTCGTGCTTTGCCCTTTTCCGCTACCTTGGACATGTGTGCATTCCACGAGCAATCTTTTGCGATCTCTACTCCCAGGTATGTGTACTGGTCCACTACTGCAATCTCCTCGATCCCCCACTTCCATCTATGTTCTACTGGTTCCTCCCTGCCCTCGTTGCATACCATGACGGCACTCTTCGTAACGTTGGCAGACAATCTCCACTTATCAGCAAACTTCTTCGCCGCGTCAATTTGCAGTTGCAGTCCCTCAGGGGTGTCCGACATACCAACAAAGTCATCCGCAAACAGCATTCCTGACACCGAAGTTTCCGTGTCCCCTACTTTTACTCCCTTCCGGACTGCCTCTACGACTTCCAACAGATCGTTGATGAACACCTGGAACAATGTTGGGGACATCGTGCAACCTTGTGGGACCCCTTGCTCAATGTCGAAGAATTTAGACAGTTCTCCGTCTAGCATGACCGCGCTTTTCGTACACTCTGTCATCTTCTTCAGCACCCTCCACATTTTCCCCTTGATCCCGTACTTGGACAATTGTTTCCACAGCCCATTTCTCCATACGGTATCGTATGCCTTTTTCACGTCCAGGAAGAAGCAGTACGTCCGCTTGCCCGCCCTCTTTCTACCTTGGATGATTCTCCCTACCGTGAATGCGTGGTCTACGCACCCCCTCTTCTGTCGGAAACCTGCCTGGCCCTCACTAATGCTACGTTTCTTCTCCAGTACTCCCACTATCCTATCGTTCAGCAGCTTACAGGGGGGGGGGGGGGGATACTCATAGTCGTGCATGCCGTAGTCGTTAGACCATTGACCTCGCATCCCTACAAAGCCGGGACGGAGCACGCCGGGTTCTCACTGGACCAGGCTCTCACATCACCAAGCGCGACGCGCCGTGAGGTATTCGGCGAGTCGCATGAAGGGTGAGCTGCATCCTGCTAAGGGTGTTCGGCATCTTGTGCTTAGAGACAGACAGAGAGACAGACACAGGCAGACACAGGATTCGGAGACCGTTTACTTTCGAGCTGGCTTGTTTTCTGTCGGTGCGAACTCGTGATGTTTTCAAGAGTCATGGACTACTGATCGACCATTTTCCACCACGGCCAATAGGTGTTGTTGTTGTTGTTGTCTTCACATTAAAAACCGTTCCGATCTCTCTCTACCCAGTACGTTCATATGTCCGTACTGATCCAACACTTGACGCGGTCGATTCCCGTGGTCACAGGCTAACTTACCATAAAAAGGTACGCTCAAATAAACTGGCCCCGAGGGGTCCGCAAGTCAATAGAAATCAACGACAGATATTCTGGAGTCCTCCGCTCCCTCTGCGCGCTATGCGAGGTAATAACTGAGACTAGGAGTCAGCATCACGGGCCAGAGAGAAAGAGGTACACCCCCTTGGTTCAAACAGCCCCCGCGGCCTCCACCGCTGACCATCGAAGCCGCGGGACAGAAATACGCCCAAACGACCGAGTTCCGGTACCTCGGTGGCCTCGTCAACGAACATGGCGACCTCACCCGGGAGATCAACTACAGGAGCAGAGGAGCGTCGGCGTGCCTCAGGCGATATGGTCGGGAGCTCTTTGACAGACCGAAAGCGCCATTCCGACTCAAGATCCGCCTCCTCCAGGCGGAGGCGATGGAGGCACTGCTGTACGGCTGAATGACACGGTCACCACCAGCGGCCACTACCAGACGCTGCGGTCGATACTGGTCCTTTGAGTTATCGGGTACAAGCGCAAAAAAGACACCTACCGGCAGCTTTCCTACGCCCAGACGCTGAAGAGGGTCGAATGCCAGAGCGTTGAAGCCACGATCCGACAACGACGCCTACTGTTCGCGGGAGCACTGGCAAGGCAGTCGGACGGGCGACTCCCGAAACGACAGATGCTCGGCGAACTGGCGGGGGGGGAGAAGCGACGTAGGGGGGGACAGAAACAGAACTGGTCGAAGTGTGTGCTCGACGACCTGAAGGCATTCGGGGCCGACCACGGATCTACGAAAACCGATCCATGTTGTCTCGGAATCCCGGTACCGAAAGACACGGCACCGAAGTTAAAGTGGACGGAAGCCGCGAAGGTGGAGGGGGGAGTACCCTGGCATGCGGCGGTGCTGCAGGGAGCTGAGAGGTTCATGACCTCCTGGCACAAGAAGGAAGAAGAGGCCAGCCGACAACAAGCGCTCAAACGAGACCACAAGCCAACAACCAATGGGGCAGGAGGGGAGCAGGAGACGGAGGAGACGGCGAGGGAAGAAAGTAAACGAGAGGAGACGGACCGAGTGGCGTGATACGTGCCGGATAGAAAATATTATAGCCAATTCCCCCCCCCCCAACGCTGCACCATTGCACTAACCCCCCACTAGTGATGACGTACCATTACCATGTATCGCTGGTTGGTGGCCATGTTTGCGTGTGTGCTTGTTCGTTCGTTAGTGGTCTCTCCACCGTGTGGCTTATTTTGTCTCTTATTTCTTGTTATTTTCGGCCTGGTCTCTTTTTGTCCTCGCTCTTTTTTTTTTCGTTTTCTTTTTCGTTTTCTTTTCTCTTTTCTTCTTGTTTCCTTTTATTCTTTTTCTCTTTTTCTCTTTTTCTCTTTTTTCTCTTTGTCGCTCTTTTTCCTCTCTTTTTCTGTGTCAGATGGCCTTGTCTCTGCTTGCGTGTGAAACACCAATAGGTTGGGATCTCAGTAGAAGTGCAGACAAAGACGATGATGATGGCAATGACGGGAATTCGTTTAGTAGCGACGAAGGAGGAGGAACGGGAACGGGAGGACAAGGGAACGACCAAAATTGCAATGGGGGAGAGAAGCATGGAGTGGAAGAGAGCAAAATCTTCGATCTAGATAACCTTCCCCACAACAATCGACGCAGGGCTAGAGAAGAACTGCCGAAAAATAGCCGTAAAAATGACGATGAGAGTGATGGTGATGAAATCAAGGAGGATGATGGTGAAAGCACTCCAAAACGAACTCGAGTTCAAGGCAGCAGCCTTGGTAGTGCAGTGTTGCTCTGTTACTATCGTTTCTATCTTTAATCCGGAGAATAGCTTAGCCTCCCCCATGCCGCCCCCTCACGGGGTCCCAGGGTCATGGCTTTCATTTAGTTAGTGTTTTGTGTTTTCATGTTTTCAACCGCGCTGAGACTGACGTCTTTTCATTGGTCAGCCAGTTAGCACGGTCGATGCTATGTAATACTGGTACTATTGTAATAAAGACAGACACACCTATATACTTAAACAAGGGCGACCGATGGCGACGATCGACGAAGCGACGGCGGCGCGATCGACGAAGGCGGCCCAACCCCAACCCAACCCCAACCCAACCCAACCCGACCCCACCCTACCCAACCCAACGGCGACGAACGACGAAGCGACAGCGACCCATCCCCAACCCAGCCCCAACCCTCCCCGACCCAACCTAACCCAACCCTACCCTACCCTACCCTACCCTCCCCGACCCCGACACAACCCGGTGAACGCACAAGGCGAGTATGATGGACGTTAATCACTTCGCCACAAACATGATGTAGATAGAAGTGACACACAGGAGCCGCGGGATCACGAAGAAATCCGTACCCAGCCAGGCCACCCGATTGAACGACCAACATGACCGACAGACCCACCGACGCACCGACCGACCGACCGACCGACCCAACCCACGCCCCGACCCGACCCCAAAACACAACCCGACCAATCGACCGACCAAACCCACCCCACCCCACCCTACCCAACCAAATCCAACACAAAACACAACCTAACCCATCGACCGACCACCAACCGATCGACCAAACCCACCCCAGCCAACCCAACCCCCGACCGACCCAACCCTATACCCTACACCACCCTACGCTACCCTACCCAACCCAACCCAAAACCCAAAACACGAACACAACCCAACCGCCCGACCGACCGACCGACCGACCCAACCCACCCTACCCCCTACCCAATCCGACCCCAAAACACAACCCTACCTTCTCCCTACCCAACCCATGCCAACCT